TCCAAGTTAGAAACCAGGAGGAGGCCCCAAGTCCTCAAAGTCACTCATAACCGTCCCCACTCCCCAAGCACTGGGAGGGTGTGGTCTGTGGATATCTCCACAGGGAAGCAGCTGTAAGACAGACCTCATCTCCGCACAGGCACGTGTGTCCCCTAGGGATCACCACCATTCCCTTCTGAGGCCTCCTCCAAGTGGCAGAGGTGTCCCCACACCCTTTTCCTTGGAGGCCTGCCTCGTTCGCCAGTGGGGTTGCTCTTGAGCCAGAGTCAGCAGGCAGAAGAGAAGAAGTAGCCATTGTGCTCAAAAATCACCTGCATTCAGTGTGTGGGCACAAGTGGGATCCCCCCATTACTCTCTGGGGATATTGAAAACCATCCTTGCCCTTTAGTGGGACAATGGTGTCTACGTGAATGGGCTGGGGAATATCTAGGAAACTTCATTTTGGGCGTGTCTGAGGAGACTCTCTTGTCAGTGGATTGAGTAGGGGGTGAGCCACCATTGTGGGTAGTCACAATCCAATTGGCTGGAATCCTAGATAGAAGAAGGCAGAGGGCAGGCATCTTTCCCTGTCCTGGAGCAGGGACACTCCTCCTGCTGCCCTGTGACACCAGGATTTCCAAGAGACCCTTTGGCCCTGACTGCAGGGTTTATATGAATAGACCCCCCAAGCCCAGGCTGAGAGTCTAGACTGAGCAGTCCATGAGGGTTCTGAACTTGTGTTGAGCCGCAGTGTGATAGCCCAGTGTCTCCAGATTGAAGCGAGCTCCTTGGGGTTTTCCAGGGTCTGTAATCACAAAAGCGAATCCTCTGATGCCCTTCATCATCCTCTTTTCTGTTGGCTTGTCTCTCTAGAGCAGCAGTCCCCAACCTGTGGGCTGCTAGCCCTTTGGGCTTTGAACGGCCTTTCACAGGGGTCGCCTAAGACCGTTGGGAAACACAGATAATTACATTGCGATTCATAACAGCAGCAAAACTACAGTTACAGAGTAGCGGTGAAAATAATTTTATGGTTGGGAGTCACCACAGCCCGAGGAAATGTGTTAAGGGGTCGCAGCATTAGGGAGGTTGAGAACCACTGCCCTAGAGAGCCCAGGCTAGGGAAGATGGCAGTTCTCCAACACCAGTGGTGGCTGCCCCCAGCTTCAATTTTTCCTGCGTAGGTCTCACGGCTCTCGAAGTGGTATTGGCATCTCGGAGTCTGGATTTCTTCCTTATATCTGAAGACCAGAGTGGTTCTGCTAAGTAGAGATAGAACTCAAAGACGTTCACAACCCACACTGGCAAGCCCATCGTGAGTGCTGGGAACTGAACTCAGTTCCTCTTCCAGAACAGTATGTGCTCATAACTGCAGTGCTATCGGTCCAGCCCAGGTCTCATGATGTAGCCCAGGCTGGGTTCAAATTCTCAGTCCTGCCGCTTCAGCCTCCCTGGAATTACAGGAATGCAGCCCAGCACTGGCTGAGGGTATTTCAGTCGATGTACGAGTGGGAATTGATCAAGCCAGGAATAAGTGTGCACACATGTGGCATCTCCTTGTGTCAAAAACGTGAGAGATCATTTCTTCTAGCTCTGCTGATACATCTGGTACACGATTGTGAATTGCATCACCTCCCGTGCTGTGGGGTGCTAGGACTTTTCCTCACAATTAACAGTATTTTTTTTACTTAAGAGTCACACTGTACGGGGCCCTGTCCCTTCTTCTCCTATCATCCATTCTGGCTCTTTTTGAGATAACATATTTAATTTCCCCCATGTGAAGGAGTGTGTGTGGGACGAACCTTCCTGTGTGTGTTTAATTTACTTTCTAGAGTCCCAGGTTTAGAATGGTATCTGATTCTGTAGTCACTAAGGTTTCACAACCTCTGAGTGCCCCATGCTTCATGAAGCATGCTTGAATCATTGATGTCTGTTTCATGTAAATTCTGAGTCACCATCAGTTGTTACGAATTATGCAATAAAATCAGAGTGATATTTCCAAGCATTTGAAACAACTGGATTACCAAGAGTCCTGACACATAGAACGAAGAGCAAAAGACGATGCTTATTAGCTTGGATGGCTCATCTTTTCCCCGGGTGACAGGAGTTGGTGATCAGGTCGTTGGCTTTGAGAGCTCGGCTCTGGCTGAGCTTCAAACTGCAAGCCTGTTTGGGAGGCCCAGAGAGCCTGCTTCCAGCCCAGAATGGACTGTTATCACCTGCCATGCCTAAGTCTTCTTCCCCAAGGAGGGCTTTTATGTATTGTCCCCAGTTTAGGGACTGGAGAGTGTGTTGCACACATGGGCAAGTTTTCCTGGCCTCTTTGTCACTCCCTTGGGTGTTATTAAATGATACAGGGATTATTTGTTCTAAAAAGCACTGTGGCAGCTAAGCGTTTGAACTTGAACTGAGCTTAGCGCTGGGCAGAGCCTGCTGGTAGACCATGGAAGCCCGGGGCGCTGTAAATGGTTCGCTGTTAATGAGTCCTTCTAGCTGGTCTCCAGATCAGAACTTTTGACAGTTTTGCTATTAGACAGGAGACTCACCGAGTCACACTTGCTCAGCAAGTGCAAGGCCCTGGGTTTGTTCTCAAGCACCACAGAAACAAAGAAAGGAATAAACAAACAAACAAATGCAGACATACTGGTTTCTGGAAATGTCCTTTCTATGTTGCAGGTGCCAGTCACCTCTCGGGGCTGTGAGTCCAAGGCCACTGGTGCTCTGGGGCACTAGGCTGCCGCTGCCTTGTTGGCACAGGATCAAAGTGAGCAGTGGGTTAAAACCATTGAAAAGATTCTTGCTTGTCTTCTACCTTTGAAATCTTGAAACCTATTTAATTTTATGTGTGTGGCTGCTGCTTGGCCTGCATGCAAAGTCTCAGCTGTCCGTCTGTCCTTCTGCTCCCTCTAAACGGCACTCCTGCTTTTAGTTGCCTAGAGCAGACACTTTAGGCTCCCTCTTGTCTTATGCTGCGCTTGAACACCATTTCCTGTCCCCCAGCTCACGGGCGCTATCTCCCGTCTGAGCTGTTCCCAGAACCAGTGGGTTCTGCTGACTGTGTTCTGCTTTGGCCTGACGGAAGCCACCACGTGCCCCTGTATCTTGGCCTCGCCTCATTGGGGTCCCCTCCTCCTTTCTCCCTTGCTGTTTCTTCAGTTCCCTCCCATTCAGCTCCTAATCCAGCCCTTCATAGGAACCCTAGTCCCAGAGTCAGCTTGGAAGTGACCCACCTTGGAGACTGTCCCCTGATGCTGGCCTCAACTGGCTCTGCCCCAGAAGCTAATGTGGAGAGAGGGCTGCTTGTTCCCTTGCTCTTAGATTCCTCTTTCTTTCGGGTGTGGACAGAACAGACTGTGCATGCTGGCTCAGGAGACATATATTCAGGGAGGTTCCAAGTGCTCTGATAACGCCCGCCATCGCGTGTGTGGTGTGTGGAGAGGGGCAGGGGATCTGCAGCAGCCACAGAATAGAGACTTCCTCATGCTTAGAGACTCCAGAGGGCAGGTGTCTGAACTTAGAGGGGGGAGGTCTCTGAGTCTAGCAGTTTGGTGAAGGAATAAAAAGCCACCATGTCAGAAGTTGTCCCCGTCATCCCGCCCTACCTTAGAGCTGCTGGATGCAGCAGCCCAGGAGCATAGGGAGGGCACTGGGCAGAACACAAGGCCTTGCTGATCCCCCACTCCCCAGGGAGCCTCAGGGGTGTGCCACTCCATGCTCGGGTGAAGGACGCTCAGTCAGGAGTAGACAGTGTATCTGCTGGACAAGGCTCTGTTAAAGCCACCCTGGGGGCAATTTCAGACCCCACAGATGCCCGTCTTCTCTTCCCTCATCTTCTCTGTCCTCCAGCTCAAGAGCAATAGACTGTGGGAAATGTGGAGACGGCTGGGCACTTCTCCGTGACCTGCTCCGATTGGTCATGGTTCAGCCACTGTGAGCCCTTGACTGTGCTAGCACAGGAACCTGAGCTCAGCTGAGCCCCAGCCCTGATTCAGTGCACTCCATACTCTCCAAGTCAAGATCTGAATAAATGAAAATATAAAGCAAAGCAAAACTGGCTGGTGTCTGAAAATCAGGCATCTGCCCTGCCATAGATTAAAAGCATAAACTTTGAACACGCTGACATCCAGGAAAAGAATGGTGAGGCTGGCAGGTGGTTTTGAGGCTGCACCTGGCCCACTCTGCTCACCCTCAGCTGACGACTGTCCCCCGCCAGGGTCCCTCTCCTGACTGTCCGGCCTCCACTTCTGAACCTGGAGAAGGGAAATGAGCAGCGTGTCACTCATGGTGCCTTTTTCTAAACATAGGCTGACACTTCATCCAGTGTGTGTTTACACTCATTTGGTTGGTGTTTTACCGTATTTATCAAAATATTACTCACACTCAAATATCACTCATTTCTGTAACTTTTTTGGTGCTCCTTTCTATTTTGTCCAAAAGGAACAGCTCACTAACCTCAGCATAACCCACCCGCTTGGATTTATTCATTCTTTCGTTCATTCATTCATTCCCTTCACACCAGGCATGAGGTGTGAGCCATGGCTGGGTTCTGGGAGGGGAATGGAGGCAGACCCTCACTTGCCCAGGACCAAGTTGGGGGAAGGTCACAGTGGATTCCAGGGCAGGGTCCAGAAAGCAGAGACGACCCACCAGGCATCCAGAATGTTTCTGATGCTCACTGAGGGTGGTGAACTCAGGTTTTCCACATGGATGGCTTTCCCTCAAAACCCTTCTGGTTCATAAGTGCTTCTAGAAAAGTGCCACCAGGGGTCCCAAGGCTTGCAGGGGCCACCTGTAGCTGATTTGCATAAGGCCTCAAGCTGAGGAGTGGTGTCCCTGGGGTCCACCCTAGTTCTGCCTGGCTCTGGGCTCACATCCAGCAGGGAGGTGGATGTTGCCCACTGTGTCTGCTTCCTCCAGAGGGGTCAGGGAAGGCGGCATGGAGGAGGCCGTTCCTGGGCTGAGATTTGAAGTAGGCCTGAGCTGAGCGGGAGGCAGAGGGCACAAGGATCCCTGGCAGAAACAAATGGCTTGCGTGCTGTCAGAGACTCATGTCCGCAGTTCTGAGAAGCAGGCGAAGCTGCTTGTGAAAGGGCACTGCCGCTTCCTCATTCTGCTCTCTGTTTCCTCCCGACGTGGCACAAATAAATAGGAAGCGCCTAAGGCTCACTGCTGCCTGGAGGCTCCCGAAGGAGGCTGCCTGGACCCAATGCAGAGGTGAGGCTCCCTGCTACAGAGCTGAAGGTGGGCTCAGAGTAGGGGTGCTGAGGGTCTCCAGGACAGAAAGGGACAGGAGGAGAAGGACCCGGGTGGCAGCTTGCTCCAGGGACCTAAGGAGTAACACTGGGCCTCGCTAGGAAAACTGCATCCCTGACCCCAAGGCAGTTTGTAGGGGAGGGGGCACCCAGGAGTAACCAGCAGGGCTCACAGCCAGTGCTCTGGGAGGGTGAGAGTTAGGGTTGCTCTGGGACTCCGCGAGGACCCAGCTTGGTCACTGGAGGTCTGGTGGCAGGGAGAGCTCCCTTGAAAGCTCTGCCTGGGTAAGTACACTGTTCGGTCTTATTTTAACACCGATGTTTTAGTTCTATTCTTGACCTAGGCTTCCAGCCACACGGCTGCGGGACAGGGTGAGTGGGAGACATAACCCCTGTGTTCTCAATTAGAAATGGATGGAGGGAGGAGAAGGGAAGAGAGACGCAGAGGCAGAGAACACCGGGTAATGTGGTATGTCTCTGACCCTTTCCAAGCGAGCTTGCCAAGTTCCATCCAGTACCTTGGTAGGTTGTAGATCTCTGCCTCTGTCTCCAGCATTCTTTATCCCAGTCCTGCAGATAAATCCCCTCTGTCTCTCCTCCTCTGGTTTTCTCTGATCCCACTGAACTCTGAACCACTCCAGGTGCTTTGGGTTCGGGCCCCGATGAGTATGTTCTACACCTAACGTGCTGCCTGGGAGACGTCTCATCACATAGCAGGGGATCTGTCCCTCCTGAACGATGATACACTCCCCCATGCTGACTGCAGTCAGAGACACCCTGACCACTGTCATATCTCATAGGTCACAAACTAACTGTCTCACGCATGCTGCGTGCTGGGACCCTCAAGTCACACATTAACCATAGTTGGAATCTTGTCACCTGTGAACCCAAGAATGTCCTTGAGCTCCCTGCCTCAGATCAAACCCAGCACATGGTGCCTTTAACCTAATTTGGCAATGAAAGGAACCCTCACCTCCTCTGTGGTGTATCTCCACTCCTCTCCCTACTGCTTTCTAAAGGGCTTTAACAGAAGACTCCTTCTCTGCCTGGATGGGCTGAAATGTCACTTCTGACCCTACTGTGCAGTCGGCTCGGCTCTGACAAACCTTTTGCTGGAACCTAACATCCCGTAACGGAACCTGGGGCATCTGTGACGTTGCCCTGTGAGCTCCTCCTCCTTCTCTGTTGCTCTCCCTGCATCTAACCCCAGACCCCCATCCTCTCAGGTGAGGCCCTGGGGTCCCCATGATCTTCTGTGTGTCTGTGCTGGGAAACTTAGTGCTAGGTCCCAGGGCCACGGGGCTTGGGTCTGTGCCATCTCCCAGATCTGCTGACACAGAGACACCTGCTCTCAGCCCTATTCTACTGTGGTGGCCTGGGCACTCTTCAGGAAGGTGTCACCTGCAGCCTTTTCTCTAAGTCAGTCTCTTAGCCTGTGGGTCGCAATCCCTTTGGGGCTGAATGACCTTTCACTGGGGTCACCCAAGAGCATCGGGAAACACAGACATTCAGGCTATGATTCGTAACAGTAACAAAATGACAGTTATGAAGTAACAATGGAATTGATTTTACCATCAGGATCACCACAACATGAGGACTGTATTAAGGTCGCAGCATTGGGAAGGTTGACAACCACTGCTCAGGACCCTCTTGACTGCATTTTGGGATGGGTCTCACTTGCCTAAGGACTGATCTCTCAGCTGCTTCTGCAAGACCTCTACACACTTCACCCTGGGGAGACGTTAAACCTCAGATCCTGATTTCTTTAGCAACACTGACCACAGCACAAGTAGCTGGGAAAGAGCTCCTCTGATTTTCCTGGATTACATAACAGTGCACAGCAAGTGGCCTGAGACCCCTTGGGCATCCTTCCTCCTCCATAACTGACCCTCCTCAGTCTAGGAGACGTGCCACACTGTAAAAGGATCCCATGCACCCCTGGACACACGGTTCTCTTTCCTCTTCCTTAAGAACTTTCCCACAGTATCTCTGTCCACAGCAACTGCTCTTATTGAAACTCTCACAGAATTAAGACCTGATTGTTTCATTGCAATGCCCTGGGCCTTTTCCCATGACAGCGGGTGAGTGCCTGAGTGGAGGTAGTTGTGTGTGTGCGTGTGTGTGTGTGTGTGTGTGTGTGTGTGTGTGTGTGTGTGTGCTGTCCACTCAGGGGGATTGGTTTGTAGCCTCACTAACAGGCTTCTGGGGCTGGCAGTAGGGTTTTCCCTCCTTAGATTCCCTACCAGAACATTTTGCATATTCAGATTTGAACTTTATTAAATCCTATCTCTCTTATTTGTAGTTTCACAGTGAGTAAACTTTGCACCCACTCCTGGCAACCCCCACCTCTGCAATCATCAGTGTTACTTTTATTACGACAAGCTACTCATGCCCCACTACTGTAGGAGAGGGCACGGGTTCATTAGTGTTTAATGTCAAAGACTCAGACACTCAGATTTATTAAGGTTGAGGATAATCCAGAGTCACGGATGTGACAACACATGCCTGCATTGGTGTGCCTATAGGTAGGTGTTCGGAAGTGGCCACTTTTAAATCATCCAGCGTGATCTGTATGCGGAAGCTCTGTTTCCTCCGATGGATTTGAAAGGCTCTGGTTCAGCACATCCCACCCAACCTGAACTCATTCTTTGAGGTTGCTTAGAGTGGGAGGGTCTCAGAAACATGGGCTTATCACCCATGGCTTTGAGTTAGTGACTATAAACCAAGCAAACACTGCTACCAGAAGTGTTGTGTGCAAACCGCAAAGAAACAAAGCAAGACGCAGAGTGACCTTTGGCATGCCTAGGAAGTCATCCTAACGAACGCTCCAGCTTTTAGAGACGGGAGCGATCTACAACCCCTAACCCTTTTCACATGAAGAAAAAATCAACTCCAAAAGGTTTTAGCATTTGTCCAAAGTAACCAATGCCATACCAATGTTACAACAGAAAAAATAATCAACAGAAAATCCCAGCAGTTTTCCTAATGTGACTCTCACAGCCAGTGTACCAATCTTGGCTCCCATTAGAGTACAGCTAGTTTTTCCACACTCATAAGTTGAAACACAAGCAGGTGTTGAGCTGCAGCTCCCAGACACGGTGACCAGTTCACCTCTTTTCATAAGGAATGGCGCGGTGTAGAGGACTCTCCTGGCTGCCTCTCAGTCAGCAGCAGACTCGCTCCTCAGTCTTTCCTTTAGTGAGCAGGTCGTCCTCACTGCCGTGACAGCCATTGTGGGGCCTGGGGACCTCTGCAGAGCCTCTTGGCACATCCCCAGCATCTAGTCCTGTCATCTGTTGAGTGAAGCGTCCTCTCTGGGGCCATGTTCTCTTCCCAGCTCTGAGGTGCAAAGGATGAGCCGTCTCCAGACAGGCTGCCCAGAGCCCATCATCTCACTCACTCCAGAAACCCGTTTCCCTTTCCTTACACCAAGCCTTTCCCGCCAGACTTTCTCCAGGCTCTGCACTCTCTGTCTTTGTCCTGGGTTTGTCCCTTGATTCCTCCAAACCTGTTTTATCTCTCTGGCAGACTGGAACAGCACCCATCCTCTGGGTTGTGGGTCTTGCAGTGTCTTTGGTTTTAGCCATATCCCAGAGGAGTGATTACAATATTAATAGGTATTGTGGAGTCATCCCACTGAAAAAGCAACAGAACTTGACACCCCCCCCAAAGTCTCAATGTACAGGATGGAGTTTCCCTTTGTACTGCTTCAAAATTTTCATCTACATGTTTGAGGGCCAAATCAGTTAGTCCATGTATCTGTATTTACTTACATGGGATGAAAATACAGTTCCCGGGCTTTCTTTCTCTTTTCCCCTTCGTCAGGTTTAAGATGTCTTGTGTCATAAAGAAGGTTCCCGTCGTCTGTCACTGTGTTGTCTGCTCTGTGTGTGATCATGGATGCATGGGTGCATACATGTGTGGGTGCATACATGCGTGGGTGCATACATGTGTGGCTGCATACATGTGTGTGCTGCATGCATGTGTGTGTGCATGCATGTGTGGGTGCATGCATGTGTGGGTGCATACATGTGTGGGTGCATACATGTGTGGGTGCATACATGTGTGGGTGCATACATGTGTGGGTGCATACATGTGTGTGTGCATACATGCGTGGGTGCATATATGTGTGGGTGCATACATATGTGGGTGCATGTGAAGGCCGGCAGACAGCCGTGGGTGCCCTTCCTCGGGTGTAGTCCACCTCTTCCCGAGACAGATGCTCTCACTGGCCGGGAACTCAGTGAGTACACTAGGCTGGCCATTCAGAAAGCGCTGGATATCTGCCTTTCTCTTTCTCCTGAATGCTGGGATCAAAAGCAAATGCCCCCACACTTAGAGTTTTTTTTTTCATGTGGCTTCTGGGCTTGAACTCAGATTCATATCCTGGACCCACCTAGCCACCTCTCCAGCCTTGTTTGCTGGTTTGGGTGTTGTTTTGCTTTGTGTTTTCTGTTTTAAATGTTGCGTTTTACCTCTATGATTAAAGATGTATTTTTAATGCTCACAGCTTTAGTTGAGTTTCAGACCGTTAACCCACATTGCGTTTGGAGTGGAGAGAAAGATGTAAAGAACCGAGGTAACTTAAAGGCATGGTCCCCTCATTGGCTAGAAGCCCCCAGTCACACCTGTGCCGCCCCTCCTTCTCTGTGGTTGGAGACTGGTCTCCAGCTTTCTAAGATCTGACACACTTGATTATATATTTACTTTATTCTTTATCTAAGCTTACTTTTTTATTTTTGCAAATGCAGCATACCTCTTCTCTCCCATGCCTTGGAATTCAGAACCAACCATTCAATACCTTCCAGAGTTTTTCATTTCTGTTGCACTGAGAATCAGGGTTATTGTCAGCACGACTGTCCCCTGGAGACAGAGGTAGGACTTTCTCCCATGTCTGCCCTGTCTAGGAGGGGGGGCAACCTACAACTCCCTCAGGCTCTGACACTGTCCTGGGTTTCAGGCTGACAAACTCAGTTCATCAGTATGACTGGCATTTTAACCATTTCCATGTCCCTGTCACTGAACTGGTACTTTTCCCTCTTGCTGGCGATACACTGGGGAACATGTTTAGAGAGAGAGAGTCCTAAGCCAACCTGGGCTCAGTCCCAGGTCCTCTCACAGCTGAGGTATTGTGGACCTGTCACTCATCCCTATATGGTTTCCTGTCTGTAAGGGTTCTAACAGCTGCCTTCACCAAGACATACCAATTTTTGGAGATCTGTCTGCACACCTCCTGACTGATGGTGGGCATTAAACCTTAGTTGGTGCTGGCATGGATTCTCATTGTTTTTTAAATGCTCTGCCCTTGTTCTTTGATGACACAGCTCTGTTGTTATTTACAGTCGATGATGGTAACTTGTTCTCCATGATTTAAAGTGTTAGGAACTGAATACCCATGTCCCTCACGACTCTTATGTTGAAACTACATCCCCAATGGGAGGGTACCTGAGATGGGAACTTTGGGAGCTGAAGGGGTCTGAGGAGCAGAGCCCTCATGAGGGGATTGGCACCCATATATTAGATATCCTGGAAGCTCCCTTGATGCCTCCACTAAGCGGATAGCAGTGAGAAGCCAATGAGAAAGAGGCCTCGTCAGACCTCAACCCTGTTCGTGCCTTGACCTTGGCTTTGTCATTTTCCAGAACTTCAGGAAATAAATGTTGCAGTTTTTATGAACTGCCCATCAGTGGTATGCTATGACGTTAGTCCTCCCAGATTAAGACATTTGGTATAATTTTTTGGTGACTCTGGTAGCTTTATTAAGGCAGGGGGTTTGGCTACAAAACACTTTCATCTTTCTTTGTCTCAGAATCTTTGATTAATTCTAAGCTTAATCACCACAAGGGTGGGGGTGGAAATGGTTGGGTGTGATTGCACCCTTAGTGTGTGACTTCTTAATTAACCTCAGGTTTGGGGAGTGGTGTGAGATAGAGGTTTGGGATTTATGTTTTGTTTTTAATGTGTCAGTCATCTCTCACTTTCAAATGAAATATTTCATCATATTACATTGTTTACTCTTTGCTATTCCATTTATACAGAACATTCTGAAGTTAAATAACACTTGTTCCAGTCAAGATGCCCACTGACTATCTAGGAAAAAGACAGGCAAATATAGATAAATAGATCTATAGATGGAAATGCAGATAGATCTGTGAATAGAAAGATAGATAGCTCTATAGACAGATAGTTAGATTGACATATCAATAGATAGAAAGATAGATCAATCTATAGATAGATAGAAAGAAAGATCTATAGATAGAAAGGTAGATCGATCTATAGATAGATCAATAGGTAGAAAGAATCAGTAGATAGAAAGATAGATAGATTCATATATATATATATAAAGGTAGATAGATGATAGATAAATCTATAGCTAGAAAGGTAAATAGATGATAGATCTATATATAGAAAGGTAGATAGATAATAACACGAATGGGTATACAGACATAGATACATGATACATACACATGGAGGGATAGTAAAACGGACATATGTGTATGTACATAGATGGAAGGATGGGTGGACAGATGGATTTGTAGATACATAGGTAGACAGATGCATTGATAGACAGATGACAGATGGACACAGATGTGAGTGCTGTGTGTTTGTCGACTGAAGTTTCAAATAACCTTGTAGGAGAAGGGGCCGCAGCAGGCTACTGCGCCTCTGGTACTTCCCAGGTGAACTTAGTGAAAAGGAGGAAATCCCAGGCTTCAGAGAAAGGGGAACTGGGAAGCAGAGGGGCCTGTGGGAGATGGTACACGGAGCAGAGGTGGGGAGAGCACCAGGCTCTGCATGCGTGTGTATGTGTGTGTGTGTGTGTGTGTGCGCGCGCGCGTGCGCACATGTGTGTGTGCGTGCGTATGTGTATGTGTGTTCCTTCATGTGTATGTCTGTGTGTGAGCACATGTGTGTGTGTGCACACGAGGAGGGAGCGTGTGTGCTTTAATGTGCATTTGTATGTGTGTGCATTTGTATGTGTGTGTTTGTTCCTTCGTGTGTGTGTGTGTGTGTGTGTGTGTGTGTGTGTGTGTGTGTGTGTAGACAGAAACAAAAGAGTGATGACACTTAGGCTCCCTGCCCCCTCTGGCCCCACCTGTCTACCCATCACCAGGTTCTGTATGTGCTACAGAACAAGGTTGGGAGTGTGTGTGTGTGTGTGTGTTTGTGTGTGTGTGTGGAGAGACATGTTGAGACAGTGATCACAGCGCCACAAGCAACCCCAGGGTATCAGGAAAGAAAGACCAGACGTCCACTTGTTTGTACTAAGAGAATGCGTGTGTTGCCTTTATTGCCAGGAGAGAGAGTGTGTGTGTGTGTGTGTGTGTGTGTGTGTGTGTGTCTTCATTGCAAGTACTAAGAGGTCTCTCTCTTGTAGGAGGGAGGAGCTTTATATACAGATTTACAGCACAGTGGAAAAACCCCAGGTAGAAGACAGTGTGTTTTTCTCCTGCTGAATGTTGATGTCAGAGGGTCAAGGCCAGGGCAGTAAGCCAGGACTGGAAAACAGGAAGCAGTTGGACTGGAAAACAAGTTGCACTTGTAGGCTGACCAGCAATTCACAGAGACCCCGTGGAGTGGGGGCCCAACATCTCCCCCCTTCTTTATATATAAATTAGCACCTATCTCAAGTGACTAAGACGTTAATGCCAATCTTAGTATCAATAACCACCCCTGTATAAATGTAAATGTAAACAAACATTTATAAACAGTTTTGGGAATGTGGGCGTCGTCGTTCTTTCCAAACTACTTCCTGCTGTTAAGGGTTGCTGAAATACCATGGGGATCATGACAAAAAAGAAAAAAACCCCAGAAACCTGTTGACGTTCTTGTTTTTGTGGTCTGTAAGGCTGCATCATCTCATCTGTTTTAGATGTTGGATCACCTGGGCCACTGCTTCAGGTAGTCTTGCTTCATCAAACCATACTAATCTGGAAGGAACCCACAGCTTTTTATGTTCTGTGGGAACAAAAGCAGAAATTCTTTTCCCAAGTAACCTGTCCTTATATTTAAATTTAGAAGTCAAAGCATTTTCAAAATATGTAACTTGAATTAATTTAGTAGCATTAATAATCAAATGTTTTTAGCAGTTTTTGTTCCTTTCTTAGCAATTAAACAATTTAAAGACAATACAACTGTACATAGTATCCAGACATTCTGTGTATTTTCCATTCCATATACTTTTATCTTTTCCTTTTCTTTTACTTAATACCAGTACCTCGTTTACTAACTGTTACCAATATTCAGTTCACCCACTTTTAATCCATCCTCCAACTGAGGATGATCCCTAAGGCAAAAGCCTGAAGATTTACTCAATCCATCCTCCAACTGAGGATGATCTCTCAGGTTCCCCTTTCTTTCCTGACCTTGATGTCAGGCGAAGGCCTGGAGATTTAATCCAATACACCTTCTCTTTAGAAGGTGATATCTCAGGCAAAAGCCTGAAGATTTGACCATTTAATTTTACTGTTAGAAGTAGAGGTACCTGTTTTTAAATCTTTTCTTTTTGAGTCTCTCCTCTCCTGAGTCTTCTTTCTGGCCAATCTTTCCCAGTCTTTCCAAATCTCTCTGGATCTCGGTGAGACCTCCAATTGTGGCGCCAGCACCACAAGCAACTCCAGAGTATCAAGAAAAGAAAGACCAGACGTCCACTTCTTTGTACTAAGAGAATGCATGTGTTGACTTTATTGCCAGGAGAGTGTGTATGTGTGTGTCTTCATTGCAAGTGCTAAGAGGTCTCTTTCTTGTAGGAGGGAGGAGCTTTATATACAGATTTACAGCACAGTGGAAAAAACCCCAGGTAGAAGAGAGCGTGTTTTCCTCCTGCTGACTGTTGATGTCAGAGGGTCAAGGCCAGGGCAGTAAGCCAGGAGTGGAAAACAGGAAGCACTTGGACTGGAAAACAAGTTGCACTTGTAGACTGACGAGCAACTCACAGAGACCCCATGGGGCTGGGGCCCAACACCTGAATCCATCAAAGGTGGGGGTGTCAACTCCTCTGTGTGGCAGGTTCAAGTTAAGCACTTTGATCTCTGGGTAGTGCCCAGTGGTTTTAGGAGAACCTGATGCCTCAGAGGACATCAGGCCCATCTCTCCCGTGGTCATGCTTTAGACAGTAGGGCTGAAGGGAGGGAGCAGTCACAGGACAACACACCTCTTGTTTGGGTTCTGGCATCAGCAGTGTTCTGGGCAGCTGTCAGCCTACACATCGTCTACAGTGTCAGAGGGTGCAGCCTATGAGGAAAGACTCATAGAGAGTTCAGTCTATGAGTAAAGACTCATACGGCCTATAACACCAGTGTGGTCCAATCTCCAGGCAGGCAGCAACACAGAACCCCAGGACAATGAGGACGCCACCCTGCTCATAGCTACAGCCGCCCTGGGCAGCCACCTGAAGTCCCAGAATGGAGCAGCAGATGTCACTGGCCTGGGGATTGCTCTACATGACCCTGCTGGCTCTCTGCTGGAGACCTGGTGTGACAGAGGCACAAGGTACGTCTGAAGGCCCCTTCCTATTCATCCCTCCTTTTAACTGAGTCAGGCAGGAGCCACCCCCACCATATCCCCAGAAACCCCCAGACCACCAGAGCTCCAGCCCCTGTATCCATCTCTGCCTCCATTTCTCTACTGAATCCTCATTTTTCTCCCTCGGGGCTCCCTGCGTCCCTGTCTTCCCTGTTCTCCATCTTCCTGCCCATCCTTGCCTGCTGCTGGATCATGGAGCCCAAGTGTGTCCCTCTGCGCACACTCATCAGTGCAGCCCCCAAAGCCCCAACCTCCAGTGCGCCAGTGTCTTTTCTGCCACTCTTGCCAGACGCTCTCCTCCCAAGAGGACTTCAGGGTCCCCTAAAGCATCGCTTCTGTGGACTCTGGCCTAAGACCCCCTCGCCACTATCTCTCTGGACCCCTCCTCTTCACAGAGGCCTGTGGGACACCCTAGAGCTCTCTGAACCTGGAAGACTGTCCTCAGTGCCCTTAGACTTCCTCTTTGACACTGTGGGAGCCAAGGCCCTTTACCAATCCCAGGTTCAGAGGCCAAGGCTCAGCAATCGGGACCCTGGATCGGGAGACGGCAGCTACTTCCAGGCCCTGAGTGTCTGTCCTGCCAAGTGACACCTCAGACAACACGGCAGGCCTGAGCAATGCTCTTAGGTAGCGAGGGCCTGAGCAGCACAGGGCATGCAGTCACAGCTGAGGATCCACTGGAGTCTCACGCTCCTGACAGGAGAGAAGCAGCCCCAACACAGCCCGGCCAGGTTCCAGACATCCATCTGTTTGGTCACTGGGTGGTGAACCTCAGCAGGAAGCTGGCGGTGTGGCTGATTAAAAGAGTTGTGGGAATCAGGGATTCATGGTGCAGGCCTTTAATCCCAGCACTCAGAAGGCACAGGCAGGAGAATCTCTGGGAGATCGAGGCCAGCATGCTCTACACAGCAAGTTTCAGGCCAGCACCGTCACAGAGTAGGACCCTGTCTCAAAAAGACAAAACAAAAAGCCACACTAACAAAACGCAGAGTTGACTGGACAGGGGACACCTGGAGGAGAGATGGTGACTCTCCTGCTTCTCTTCTTCAGAAACTGTCCCTCTGCAGACTCTGCAGTGCTACAATGACTACACCAGACGCATCATCTGCAGCTGGGCGGACACGGAAGAGGCCCAGGGCCTCATTAACTTGACGCTCTACCACAAGCTAGAAAAGTGAGTACCACTGAGTCCTTTGGTGTAGCAGCACGAGGACCTTGCTGTCACCAGCATCTCCACCTCCTGCATGCCAGTGACGTGCCACCACTATCCCCAACACCTGCAGTGTCTGCAGCACCAGGCCTCTCCTGCCCTGAGCATCCTGTCCCTGCCTCCTCAGCTCCTTACCTCACCCCCCCAAGGAACCCACAGTCCCTAAATGTCTTTCCACTATATCTTGACTGAAATCACACCCCAGGATTTAGCTCTCTCCAAGGGAACCAAACTGCACCTGCCGCTCAGAAATACCCAAGTCAAATGGCCAAGCCAGAATGATCATCGACCAAGGCACCCAGGACGACCTCCTGGTAGTTCTCCTTCCCTTGACTCCCAGCCACCACACTCACTGAAGTCCCTTGGTGTTTCTGACAACTGCCGTTCCTTTGGCTCCCTTTTTTCCTCTGTCCACTGTAGAGGGTGAGATCTCCAAATGGAACCCTGGCCTCCTATCTATATGCAGTCTTTGGAGAACCCACTGTAGGCCATGGGCAGAGACTCTCAGTGCGAATGTCCATTTCTAGTCCAATGCCATGAGCCAAATTCTGCTCTTGCCTCCATCTCCACGGCTCGCTTCATTAACTGGGAGGAAATGGTAGTTGATTAATGACTGGGATGGCTGCTCCAAGATGCCTTTTCCCTCCTGTCCTGCTTCTCAGTGAACACTGCTAAGTTTGTCTCCCGGGCAGAAGTAGGACTGAGACAGACAGAGTGTTTGCAATCACCATGGTGCCATGTTCCCTATTCCATCACTCTAAGTCTTTCTGCATTAAGTCCTTCCCGTACTCAGTGAAATCTTTTGAATCCTGCACAGAAACAAGTCTGCCTTCCCTCACTCCCAGTTCCCTACAAACACAAATTGGAACCTTCATTCCTTGTAGCAGGACTCAAGACTGTTTGGCTTGCATCATGAAATCCAATACTCAGGGACAAGTCCTCACTGTGCACTTTGAGCAGTACCAGTAATGCATGACTTTCCAGATGTGCCTGCACTATCTTGTGATGAATCATGCAGAGGCTGTAAAGCTCCTGAAATACAGAAAACAGAGCTAACAGAAAACAGTCACTGTTTTCTAGAATGGTTTCCTCAAGGTCTACGTACTTCTAGAAAACAACTGCTTCTTTTGAATGTTTCCCCTAGACACAGTGACTCTGCTAGATTTCTTGGTTCTGATCTGCAGCTTTTCCCCTGGGCTTTTATGGTCCTGTGTCTTCAGTGTGTTTTCTCAGGGACAGTTACCCTTGCAGCTGGAGATACAGAGAGGGGGAGAGAGCAGAAGAACTTCACCTTGAGATTGACCTTGACCTCTTCTTATGTCCCTGATCAGAGGTGCTGTCTAGAGCAGAGCTCATGGGAGACCAAGATTTACATACTGCTCTGCCTGTGACTGCCAATCAGCCATTTTCACAGCCACGTAAAAGCCTTTAAAGCCAGAGGCTTTTTAGACTGCCGCTGGGTTGCAGTCAGATTTCTTGTGAGCACTGCACAGGCAGATCATTAACTGGACCCTGGGCTGCACACACTCTCCACTCTGTGCATCTGGTTCAGGCCTGGTGGCAGCCCCAGGGACTTTGCATTTGCTGCAATCAGCCAGCTGCAGAAACGGCCAGCTTTTCCCAAGTCCTTGGAGATGCTGCGTATATCACACATGCAGCGAGTCCAGCTGTGCTCACAGCCAAATCTAGGCTCCTGATCCTTGTATTCTGATCCTATTCAGCATGTTCTCATAACACTTATATTAATGGGTGGTTTGCTGTATGTCTGTTCATCATAAGGGTGCTCAGTATATGGGCAGGTATTTGAGCATATTTGTTTTTGTGTGTATGTCTCTCTGTCATATATGTGTCTGTGTTGTGTGTGTGTCTCTGTGTGTTGGTATTGTGTTTGTGTGTCTCTGAGTGTATGCGTGTATTGTGTTTTATGTGTGGATATGTATATCTCTGTGTCTCTGTGTGCATTTGTGTGTCTCTCTTTCTGTGTATATATGTGAATTTGTGTGTGTGTGTGTGTGTGTGTGTGTTGTTCACTGCCTGCCATTGACCTTGAATAAACTAGGCATGCAGTAGGAGCTAACGCAATGTTAATGGCAGGGACTCTCCAGTGTCCTGCGACCTCAGTGAGGACCTGTTGTGGAGAAAGTGTCCCTCCCCCCACCGATGTGTGCCCAGAAGGTGTGTCATCCCCTACACACGGTTCAGCATTGCAGATGAAGACTTCTACTCTTTCCAGCCAGATCGGGATGTGGGCGTCCAGCTCGTGGTTCCATTGGCCCAGCATGGTGAGGAGCAGAGGTCCTGCCTATGAGGATGTGAGGAGGGGAAGGCTACCAGGGTGGCCTAGAGTGACTTTCTCCCGGGTTAACGGACCCTTTCCTGGGGTTCAGAATAGATGTGATGTTATGTGGGCCTCTGTCTGAGGTTCATCCTGTCCTAGCTCTTTCTGCCACATACAATGGCCCAAAGTATCCTCAAGGAGGAGCCATACCTGTGACTCCTGTAGGACTTTCCAGGTGACAGAACTCTGGTCTCTGTTGACTTATCTCAAAGCTACAACTCCTTGCCTATGGCTGAGTCTCCAAGACACACAGTAGTCTCCAAGTACCACCGTGGAGCAGGGAGGGCCATGATAGGTCACACGGCCAACCACTTTCCATGTTTCTGATTCAGACCCAGGCTTGTGGCGCCCTCCCTGGACCCCCTGGTGTGCAGCAGGTCCACAAGGCACATTGGTACAGCATGGCCTTAGGTGGATCCAATGATGACCTGTGAGATTTTTAGGGACTATAGCAGACATGTCTCCAGCATGACAGGGGAAGAGGAAGCTGAGGTTTGCTATGTCACTCAAAGCTCAAGCACTGGTCAGGTTCTTAGGGGGACACTGTGGGTCCTGATTCTCCTCCAGCAATGCTAGGGTGAGAGCTGTTGTCAAGTGAATGCCTCTGGTGTCTGAGAGAGTCCCACCTCCAGGGGGCCTCAGGGCTTCAGGATGAAGGGTTGGGACACACACAGGAGCTGGCTGCCACACGAGGGGACAGAATTCAAAGGGCTCTGGCAGTCAGGAATGGCGTCCCAGGATGCATGGAGAGCTGTGCAGCTGAGTGCTTGCTTTGGGAGGAGCTCAGAACCAGAAGCAATTCTAGCCCAGGAAACCCCAAGAGCAAAGGCTGATTGACATGCTGGAAAACCCAGACAGGGTCATTGCCTATAAGAAGCATTGAGAGCAAAGGGTTAGGCAATGCCAGGGAGAACATGAGATACAGGCAGCCTCATGTCAACCCATCACTGAGCAAAGAGGGAGGGAAAAACGGAAACTTCCTCTGGTGTGACAAGGCAGGGATGGGAGTTACAATGAGCTGTGGTGAAGCAAGAAGAGGGACATGGAGTTCTGTCTGGGGACAGGAGTCCAGAGAGTCACCAGGAGAGATGCCCCTTCTTCTGGGCCATGACAACACTAGAAACTGAGTTGTGGAGAGAATAGGTAGCAGGGGTGAAGCAGGTGTGGCTCCCTGCGCCCTCTGCTGGAAGTAAGGCCACAGTGCACACCAAAACAGGAGGAGGCCCCATTTAATGGAATGTTTGGACCCTATCAGGCAGGGCTGCTGACAATTAGATACCCAGGTGTTCAGATTCCATATCAGAAGCTGCAGAGGCAGAGTCCTGAGGTTCTTTTTATTGTTTTTGCCCATCAGTTGATGGGATCAGCACTGAACCTGGGCCCAAGTGGCATCCAGAAAGCCAGGCTGCGCTCAGGTCCCCCAGGATGCAACCCTGACAACCCTTCTGCTCCTCCTCTGTAGTGCAGCCCCCGCCTCCCAAGGACATCAACATCAGTCCCTCTGGGGACCACTTCCTGCTGAAGTGGAGCGTGCCCCTTGGGGATGCCCGGGGGTCCTGGCTGTCACAAGAGGACTTAGAGTTTGAGGTGTCTTACAAGCGTCTTCAGGACTCCTGGGAGGTAGGACCCTGAAGCATGCATGCCAGCCTTGTGGAATGAGCCAGCAAGCTCCTCCTTCAGCTGCCCTGTCTCCACAGGATGCACCCAGCCTCCACACCAGCAACTTGTGGGCCACTCTGGAGCCAAAGCTGCTCCTACCCAGCAACACCTATGTGGCCCGTGTGCGCACTCGGCTGTCCCCAGGCTCAGCCTTGACTGGGAGGCCCAGCAGATGGAGCCCAGAGGTGCAGTGGGACTCCCAGCCAGGTAATGGGACCCATAGGAAGTGCTCCCTTAGAAGGCCACACAGTGGAGGCTTCGTCTCGCCTGAGGCTGCAGCATCTGCCCCAGCTTGTCACCAGCACTTCCCACCATGCCTGTGTCCCCAGCATTCTTTCTGGGCGACTCTGTCTCACACACTCTGTGCTCGGGGTGCCATGTATGTTCTGAGAATGACAGCGGCAATCATGACAGCAACAGCAGAAGCATAGGCCCTGTGTGTTAACAAGTACTGGGAATGTGTAGGGTCACTTGTCCCTGTGTTCATCCCAACACTCCACATTAAGACCTGGGCCCCCCTCCCAAGATGAAGCAGAGGTACCTGGATCTTCCCAAGCCGGGGACACACAGCAGGCAGGCTTGGAGCAGAGGTGGCTGATGTCCACAACCAGGTTCTGCTGCTCTCAAGCCCTCTTAATGTGAGTCATTAGTGTCCCAACCTAGGGAAAGGCTGAGGGTGGAGTGACCGAGGCCCGGTGTGTCCCCACAGGGGACAAGGCCCAGCCTCAGAACCTACAGTGCTTCTTCGATGGCATCCAGTCCCTCAACTGCTCCTGGGAGGTGAGGACCCAGATGACAACCTCTGTTTCCTTTGGGCTCTTCTACAGCTCCAGCCCAGCTGCTCCGTGAGTGTCCCCTCTCCATTGGCCCTGCTTCTTCGTATCCCCAGGCCTGTTCCTCTCTGAGGTATTAGCCTGAGGTGATCCTCCCCTCACCCTGCTCTCAGCTCCCCTATGCTTCCCCAGGGAGGAGGAATGCTCGCCGGTGGTGAAGGAGCTGCAGGATAGCGTCTGCACCCGCTACCACTGCAGTCTGACTGTGCCCAACCCCAGCTCGCACAGTCAGTACACAGTCTCTGTTCAGCTGCGGAAACAGGGGAAGCTCATCAGGAGCTCTTCACACAGTGAGTTTGCCCTGCCTCTGCCTGGGTTCCAAAGACTGTGGGATCCGTTGTGTCACCCCGATAAACACAGGGATGGATCTCTTTGGCATCTTTGTGTTGGTCCTTTTCAAAGAGTTTCAGAAAAGTGACTCAAATTGATAAAATGAGTATTCTGGGATTAGGATTGTGTCTCAATAGGTAAGAGTGATTGTTGAAGTAGCATGAGGACCTGAGTTCGAATCCCAGCACCCACATGAAAATGTGAGTGTGCTCATATGTACCTGGCAAGAGACGGGAGGATTGATGGGACTTTCTGGCTACCAACCTGGGATCCAGGCTCAGTGAGAAACCCTGTCTTAAGAGAATAGGCACAGAGAAAGGTCTGGACATCTTTCTATTGCCTCTGCAAGTCTATGTATCGGTGCCCACACCTACATGCAGGCAAATGCAACAGAGAGAGGGCGTGGCAGAGGCAGAGAGAGCAGAGAGATGGGGAGGGAGATGAACCAGGGAACCACAGCCCACAGGTAACTCACTCAGCTGCAGATGACACGTGTCACCCCTGAAGAGTGACTTGAAACCTCTTCCCCTTTCTTCTCCACTTGCTCTCGGTGGCACACTTGTCCCTCCCTTGGATCACTATTTGGTTACTAACTCTCCCGCCCCCCTTAGATTCCCAGCCTTCTCCTCCAACTAATGTTCTTCCTTCTCAGCCTCTGCTCTATGCTCTGCTTTTGTGTCAGGGAATTGTGAGCCAGCAGATGGCGTCCTTACGGATCCATGTCACACCTCCTGGCACATGGCCTGGACCCTGGAAAAGGGATTCCTCTGACTCAAGCGAGCTCCTCTGTGTATTGTAGTCACCCACATTATTTGTAAAAACACTCTGAAGTCATCAAGTTGTGAATCTTCTGTCTGATGGGGAGAGAGAATCTCAGCGGGACTCAGCGACTTAATTTTCCTCCTCTCTCAGAATGTACATGAGGCCACATAAGAAAGCCTGAACACATGGTCATGTCTCAGATCGTTGTCTGATGGCCAAGGGGGGACGGCCACCAAATGTCTCCTTGTTTCAGTTTGACCACTGTGTGGTGGGCAGATATTCATCCAAGTATACATGAAGGCCTTATTCCGGCATGTGGGTGTTCGTGGGGAAGTTCTTAGAACAGCAAGGACTTAGTTGCCCACCTTGTCTTCAGGCCGCTCCCAGGGTCACTGAAGCAGCAGAGAGGAGTGACTGACACAGGACAGTGGAGACACAAGCTCTCGACTGCTCAGTCCTTATCTGTAGACGTCCTGGGCTCAGTTTCCCATGTGTAAATGGGGAAGGCAGAGTACCTCACTGGGGAAGGGGAGAGTAGAGAAGGGGAAATCCCACAAAGCAAAGTCCATTGCACAGGGCATGGAACAGTCTGTGCACCTAGATAGCGAGTCACTGGCCTCTTTTTCTCGCCTGAAATCCAACACCAGCAGAAGCACCAAGCTTTGGACCACCTCACCATGGAAGGGTTACCTCAGCCGCTCCCCAGGGACCAGCTAGGGAATCTGTGTTTGGGAAATGCTGGGTGTTTGTCTTAGTTACTTTCCTACTGTTGTGACAAGATGTCATCAGCAATGTGGTTTATAAAAGAGAGAGTTTACTTTGGGATAATGGTCGCAGAGGCTCAGAGTTCATGATGGCAGAGCAGGAGGAGCAATGGAAAGTGGCAGGAATCTGGAGCAGCACCTGGAGCACATCTGAATTTGTTTCTCTGGTTCTTTAGTTTGTTGGTTGGGTTTTTTCAGATAGGGTTTCTCTATTTAGTCCTGCCTGTCCTGGAAGTAGCTTTGTAGATCATTCTGGCCTCAAACTAACAGAAATATGTCTGCCTCTGCCTCCAGAGGGCTAGAATTAAGGGCATAAACCACCAGGCACACATCTTGAACCACAAGCCAGAGGCAGAGTATGACTCAGTGACACACCTCCTCCAACAAGGCCACACCTCCTAATCCTTCCCAAACAGTTCCACCAAGTGGAACCACGTATTCCAACAAATGAGCCTATGGGGGCCATTCTCATTCAAACCACCACAGAGTTCTAAAGAGTCAATGTGACTGCAGATTGGGGAGAAACACCCAGGTGTGAGATCTTCTGCAACTTGCTTGGGTAATGATGAACTCTCTACTGGATTGAGGACCCCATGACATTTGCTGAAATTATCCCTCCTCCAGTCCAGATGGAGCCTCCAATTCTCAATGTGACCAAGGATGGAGACAGCTACAAACTGTATTGGGAAACTAAAAACATGCCCTCTCACAATGTGGAGCACAAATTCCATGTGCAGTACAAGAGGGAATTGGATAGCTGGAAGGTGAGTCCCAGGACTTAGGGTAAGTTAGAGGCAGGGTGGAAAATAAAGAAAAGACACAAACAGGAACCCTTTTCCTTGAGTCTGACTTCTGTGCCCAAGGACCCACATAGTCCATAGGTGACAGTGCCCTTTCTTAATGAAGGGTCCAGGCTCAGAGAAGTTGACATGATAAGGTCCCATAGCCAGTGTTGTCCTTAGCTGAGAGTGCAGACACAGAGTGAGGCAGCAGAGGTCCCTGTGTGGAATATTTCTTCATACTCTGTTAATATATATCATCGTGATTTGGTTAATAATAAACCTCTATGGCCGATAGCTGGACAGGTAGAGGCTAGGTGGGGCTTACTACATACCTGGAATGGTGAACTCCCCCTACATACCTGGAATGGTGACTCCCGCTGTGTACCTGAAATGACGACTCCCCTATATACCCGGAATGAAGGTTTCCACGATCACTAAGGCCTTGCTGTATACCCTCCCAGGAACTAAATCTGAGCCACTTCTGTGGCTGCTGAGGGTCAATTTACAGCTCAGGGCAGGTCCTTCCCAGGACACATCCCATATCTGGAGGACTGGCACCTAGATGCAGGGTTGGGATCTACAGATCCCATTTAGGGCTATTTTGCCAGGACCCTAACTTCAGAGAGGGAATAGTGAATTCGAAGGCTGAGACTGGCTCAGGAGAAGGTCAGTCCTCACACCACATTCTCCAATCCCATGGCCTAGGAACCAGCAAATCAGTATGATGCTCTAAGATCAGACAAAATTTAGTCCAGGCAGCATACCAGACAAATAGGGGGTAGAGAGAGTCTGGGCTTGAGCAGTGATGCAGTGATGGAGTATATGGCCTCTGGGGACACTAGGGTGGTTGGTGACAGTAGGGTCTGTACTCCGTCATGGACTGGACTGGAACTACAACACATCTGCCACTGCAGGCCAGCAAGACAGAGATCCTAGATCGTGCCCACAGCATGGTGCTGCCACAGCTGGAGCCATCCTGCACCTACGTGGCGAGGGTGAGGGTCAAGACCCGCCCTAACTACGATGGGATCTGGAGTAATTGGAGCAAAGAGCACACCTGGACCACCGATTGGGGTACGTCTCTGGGACACCGCCACTCTCCTGGGACAGTCCCACTGGACACAGCAAGGGAGCCTCTAAACCCTTTCCACCCTGGTCTCCCTCTCCCTGTGTCTGTCCTGGGAATGACAGTTGGTATATGTGACACTGAGTGGGGACTTGGAGAGGAGAGGCTCTGTCTCACTGCTGCTCCTTTCATTTGGGGCTTAGGCATCTATTTATAGGTCACTTGCTGTTATTGGACTTGGTGGCAGCCATCATTGGTCACTCTGAGCTTCAGGTTACCATGGCTGCAAACCTACACTAGCCATACACACACATGAGTGCCTGTGGTTGTGAGGCTGGAGGGATCCATTGGTCCTCCCCATTTCCCTCCCCCTCCCCTTTTACCAGGGTCAGTCAGAACCCTCTGGGTACCAGCTGCTCCTGCTTAGGGCAGAACTCGCACACACTGAGCCCTGGGTTGAGACCCAGAGCTTCTTCCCAGGATCACAGAGGGCCTCACAGAGAGCCGGCTCCCTTAGCCTTTATCCCGAGCCTCCACCTAACCTGCCTTCTCCCTCTCTTGAGCAAGTGATGCCCACGTGGGGGATGGTCATCATCCTGGTGCTCCTCATCCTCATCTTGCTCCTGGCCTTCCGCTGTGGCTGTGCCTACGGGTACAGGTGAGTGCGGTCTGTGGACAAGACAAGTGGACAGCGGGGCCCAGGGTCACAGGGATGACACAGCCTGGCACACTGCCATGCCAAACCTGTCACTCATCCCCTGGCTTCAGTTTTCCCTGTACACACGGACACATGGCTGGCCGGGCCTGAGGTCCCGGGAACCTCTCACTCACAGGTCTTCCTGCTGTCTTCCAGGCTGTACAGGAAGTGGAAAGAGAAAATCCCCAACCCCAGCAAGAGCTTCCTGTTCCAGGTGGGAAGCCAGGCCCACTGGGGGCTCCCTGTCCCCTCACTGTCACAGAGGTGAAGGGTGGGAGACCCAGGAGGCGGGGCTAACAGGGGATGGGGCTCTGGAACTCCTTGGGTAGCCAAAGGAGCAGGAATCCCACAAATCTCCCTGAGTGCAGCATGGGGCCTCAGAGAGAACTGAGCATTCCCTTGCAGAGGAAGGCTCAGTAGGGGCTGCTCCTGGGAGTACAGAGCAGGCTGAGGGCCCCCAGGAGAGGACCTGAGTCTAGCACAAGATGTCCCTGAGCTGGTGGGAGAGCCGGCTGCATCAAGGGTGCCCTCAGAGGATCATATCCCGAGAGAGGGGTGTCAAGGACACGGCTGTCAGCTTCTCCTGAGTCAATGGCATGGGTAGACGCCAATGCCATGAGAGAAGAGAGTGGCCTGGTCCCTTCAGGAGCTTGAGATCTGAGGGAAGTCAGCCCCTTGCAGGCATGCTCTTTCTTAGGGTCAGAGGCCTGAGCAAGCCCCACCATGGGGACATCCTTCGCATGTCTGGAGCTCATGGAAGACACTATAGACACACGCCATCCTCCACTGTCCCCTCCTCCCTGAGGGACACTTGGGCCTCATTCACAGGAACTAATGTGCTTTCCTTCTAGGACGGAGGTAAAGGACTCTGGTCTCCCGGCAGCATGGCAGCCTTTGCCACCATGAGCCTTACTCTCCAGGGGCCACGGAGCAACCTTTTCGCTGAGACACAGGGGTGAGTGCTTGGGTTCTGACCCTCGGGGAACCTGCGAGAGGACACATCTCCATTGTGATCAGGGTAGCCTGTGGGCCTCTGAAGGGATTGTAGGAGACGACACCCACAGAAGCAAGGGGCACTCCAGGTAGATTGAGGACGAACTTCCTGATTCCCAGGTTAGGGTGGGACAGACAGGGGACAAGAGGCAGCATCCTGAAGTGGAAACCTCTGTCTGCAAGAGCTAAGCCCCATCTGCCAGGGAGAATCAGTGGCGCTGTGGGTAGGAGGGTGTCAGGCGTGCATGTTGCCCAGGCAAGTGTGTGCCAGCCCTGAAGGTAGTGGGCTGCCCGGAACACAGGATGAGGGCCAAGCCTAGGATGGTGATGTGAACTGAGCCCTGGGTACAGGGTGCTTTGGGACACTGAATCTACATCATTCGCAGGGTCCCGCCTCCACCATGCCTTTGCACTCACTGTGAGGTCCGGAGGGCCTCAGGTCTTCCAGGGAACCCAACCTGCTCTGGGGATACATCAGTGTCTAAGTTCCACATCTCTCATCTCCACCTCTATTGTCCCCACAGGGTGCCATGTGCACATTTGGGGGACAATGAAGTGTCACCTCTCACCATAGAGGACCCTAAAATTGTCCAAGATCCACCACCCGGGCCTGACACAACTCCAGCTGCCTCACCTGAACTCGTGGAGCAGACTTCCGATGCCCCGCGAGACCCGCCAACCCCTTCTGGCAGACCTGAGGACCAGACACCCAGCTTTGACTTCAATGGTCCCTACCTGGGGCCTCTCCAGACCCACTCCCTGCCTGATCTCCCAGGCCAGCTGGTGAACCCCCAGACGGGTGGGAGCCCCAAGCCAGCACTGCCAGGCTCCCTGGAGTACCTGTGCCTGCCCCCTGGGGGACAAGTGCAGCTGGTCCCACTGTCCCAGGCCCTGGGCCGGGGCCAGGATGTGGATGTGGAATGTGAATCTAGTCTGGGGGCCACGGAGAGCCCCTCCACGGAACCGAGGGACAGCCCTTCACTTGAGCTGACGGTGGGAGGACAGGGGCCAAAGGACAATCCAGTGACTCTGCCCATAGGCTCTGGGGACCCTGAGGACCCTGTGGTGGCCTCCGGTTATGTCACTCCTGCAGATCTGGTGCTCACCCTGCCCACAGGGCCCCTGCCTATCTCTCTGTGCTCCCCTCGAGGGCTCCCCTCAGCCCAGGGTCCCTGTCTCTGTCTCAAGCTGCCTGGGGTCCCTCCTGGAAGCCCAGCTCTTCCAGCATCAGAAGTTGATGACTATGTGGAGCTCCCTCCAAGCATGAGCCAGCCCCGCAAGTCCCCCCTGGGCAGTCCTGTCCCTCCTGTGCCCAGCAGCCCCACAGTGAGCCCAGGAGAGCAGAGGGAGGAGGTATCCCCAGGGTCCCCACACCCCGAAGGTCTCCTTGTTCTTCAGCAGGTGGGGGACTACTGCTTCCTCCCCGGCCTGGGGCCTGGCTCCCTCTCTCCACATAGCAAACCACCTTCTCCAGGCCTGTGTCCTGAGATTGTGGGTCTAGACCAGGATCTGTCTGTCAAGAAGCCTCCTTGCCAGCCCATGCCCCAGGTACCAGTCATTCAGTTTTTTAAGTCCCTGAAGCATCAGGACTACCTGTCACTCCCTGCTTGGGACAGCAACCAGCCTGGGAAGGTATGCTGAGGGCACTGCGTCCCAGTCTCAACAGCAGCCCTGCACCTCAGCCTGTGAACCTCACATCTCCACAGAAGTCCAGAGGCTCCCTGGATGGGATGCAGTCTTCTCTGCTCTCAGCCCTGACCTGCAGCAATAGCCTTCCCCCACTCTGGTTTCCTGGCTTTTGTAGGATCTCACCTCCCTCCCTCTGCCTTGTTGCAGAAAGGATGGGGCCAGAGAGGCCTCTGAGGATGAGACCTGCATAGTTTAGAAATTACAGTACCTGTGTGTGTGTGTGTGTGTGTGTGTGTGTGTGTGTGTGTGTGTGTGTTTGTGTGTGTATTGGAATGCTATGGGAGGGGATATTTGTTCACTCCCCCAATTGCATTTTCATGAAGACATACTCCATAGGCCGGGGACTTTTGGTTTTTGTGACTGATGTTGATGATTCCAGTCTGGGTGTAGCACTTTAAGAATCCTTAATGTTTCCATGCGGAGAAAACAAGATTGTGGAGACAGTCATCAGTGCAGCAGCTGAAGGCAGAATGAACAAGCAGAGAGCAGAGCCAGACAGCTGTGAGCCTGCTCTGTGACATTGTAGTGGTTAGCATGGGTCATATCACAAAAGTGAAATGGCAGAGTGCACCCCAAAGTCACACTCTGTCACCAGGAGGCAGTGGTGTATCCATATATACTTGTCAAATGTGTCACTGTTGCCGTGCTGGAGAACTTATGGCCTCCCAGTGCACATTGTTGCTAAACCTCCTGGTGGCATCAGAGGAGGCATTGGTCAGGTGTGATGAGGTCAGCAAGGATGGGTGCCCTTACAAAGGAGACCCGAAGAGATCCCCTGACCCTTTCTGCCACAAGATGAAACAGTAAGAAGGATCTGCTTTTGTTTCTGGAGGTAGGATCTTGTTATATATTTCAGGATTGCATGAAACTCATTGTATAGCTCTAATTGGTCTTGAATTCACTGTATAACCTCAAACTCTTGGCAATTCTCTTGCCCTAGCTTTTCTAGTACTGGGATTACAGGCACTTGCTACCACATCTACCTCTAATGGCATCTTATGGAGTCTTTCCCAGTCTCCAGAATCGCAAAGAACAATCTACTGCTTCTAAGGCCTTCAAATTGTTTTGATTTAGTCACAGCAGCTCAAAGGGACCGAGATAACCACCGTGCATGCTGCTGGTATTGGGGAGGCTATGGGGGCCATGGATACGCTATAGACCTATGTTTGTGACTAACTCTTAAAAAATAAAGTCCACTTAAAAAGGTATTATAAGAATATTATATCTCTTGCCTTTCCAATTCTGGATGTTAAGTTTTTCTCCCCTAATATTAACCAATCTGGTAAATAAAAAAATGTCCAATTTTAATTCTCATATTGCTAGTTACTAGTGAGGATAAACTTTTGATAGTTTTTTTTCCTATGGGTCCTTATTGATTTATGTTGACTCTTTACTTCTGATGGCTGTTAAGCCTTTCTCTGCCATCTTCAGTTCATGTCTGTTGAGGCCTCCTAGCCCTCAACCCTCTTAACCAGTACCCAGTGATGTTACCATCATCTCTCCCCACCTGTTTCCCACCCCAGCTTCCCATATCATGTCCCCACATTCTTAGAGGATCAGGTCTCCCAGAACCTCTGCCTTCTGGCCCTTGCCTGTGTGTTCAGTCTCTGTCTGTCTCACATCTGTCAAACCACCTGGACCAGCTCCCGCCCTGACTTCCCCAACCCAGGCTTGACAGAGGCGGTGACTCTAGGAGTCACTTGGCTGTGTCTGTTAAGAATCAATTCTCTATTGTTCTCAGTTCTTTCTGTGGACAGCACAGCCAGTGTGTTAGCTTCCCCTTGCTGTACACAGAAAGCCCATGTGAGACCCAGAGTTCCAGATGACAAAGGGCTTGGAAGGGCCAGCATGTCTTAGCTCCCTTTTGGTCACATTTTACTCCTCACTCGTGTTCCCTCCTGGATTTTCTCAGAAGCCCGACTGCTTCTCAGTCTGTGGGCCATAGTCAGGATCTCTCGTCAGGTACCCTGTGCCCATGCCACCACACGCCTGCTGAAACTGTCACCATACAAACTGTAATGTCTCAAAGACATCGTTCTTTTTGATAATGCACTTAAGGGTTCAAAATGTCCTCTTCCCTGACCTTCTAAACACACACACACACACACCATTGTGTGATATGCTACACATATTTTATTACAGTGTTCCTCTCAATGAAAGGCGTTTTGGAGTCAATGTCTTAATACATGGAGGAACTTCTTGCTTGTTTCCCTGGGGAGTCCACAATAGAATGTACTGACAGGCTATTGTGAACACTGCCCACTGACACACATTCAAGGTGTTAGCAATTTTATTTTTTCTTTTTCTTTTCTTTCTTTCTTTTTTGTTTTTGTTTTTGTTTTTCGAGACAGGGTTTCTCTGTACTGTTTTGGAGGCTGTCCTGGAACTTGCTCTGTAGACCAGACTGGCCTTGAACTCACAGAGATCCACTTGCCTCTGCCTCCCGAGTGCTGGGATTTAAAGGCGTGCGCCACCGATGCCCGGCTGTGGTTAGTGATTTTCTTTGCTGCAGTTTACAGGGACAGATCTCTGCGGTGTGAGCACGTGCTCTAGAAAAGTGAAAACCTCCTGTGCAAAGCTTGAGACACAAAGAGAACCAGAAAGAATATGAACGTAGGCACATGTGTGTTTGCTGCAAAGGCCGCCTCAAATATTGCAACCAAGAGGGGTTCAGCTCGGAGATTCGTCTCACAGCGATGCAGACACATATGTGCCGAGGGTGCCATTGTGCCTCCTGCACAAAACTAGGAGAGAGCGTGTTTAGCTGAGACATGAGTGCCCAACAAAAGGCCACGTGGAGAGAGTTGTACAGCCTTATCAGAAAAGATGACACTATGATTGACAAAATCGTTCGTGGGCTCAGCCCCCAAGCCCTCCTCCCCAGCAACAACAAAAAAGTCTGTACTCCAGATGTATACAGCAGCTGTGTGCAAACCTGGCCTGGAGAAAAGAATGCAAGCGAGATGGAATGATGTGATGCCACTGTGCCCGGAGTGTCGACAGGGTAGTCATTTCCAAGTGCCACAATCGCACAGCAGGCCCCCACTAGAGGGCAGTGGGAGCTGCAGGTATCCAGGCATGCTGGGGGGAGAGCAGCCCTGATGTACAGACCAAGTCTTTGATGGGCTGCCCTGTGTGGTCACCATGCCCTGGTCCTGCCAGGGATTTAAACCCGGCTTTTCTGCAGTTGACACCATGAGTTCTTAACGTTCAGCCCTCTATTGCTTTTCACCCCCCCCCCCGAGCATGGCCGCAACTACGGCCACTAGCCAGCATTGCCCACATCAGTGACTTCTCTACATAACGAGGGCACACAGGCCCCTTGAAAAGACCCTCGGGTCTACCCAGGAGCTTCCTTCTTGGAGTGGCATGAGCTGTCCTATTTTCCAATTTTGACCCTCAAGGTATCCACTTGAGCCTCCGGCCCCCTGCGCTGAGCCAGAATTATGTCATGATTTGAGGGGGAGAAGCAGCCCATGGCAGTCCTCAAACCCTAAACAGACCATGCAGATCTCACCCTCAGAGGCCTCTCTGGCCCCATCCCTTCTGCAACAAGGCAGAGGGAGGGAGGTGAGATCCTACAAAAGCCAGGAAACCAGAGTGGGGGAAGGGTATTGCTTGCAGGTCAGGGCTGAGAGCAGAGAAGACTGCATCCCATCCAGGGAGCCTCTGGGCTTCTGTGGAGATGTGAGGTTCACAGGCTGAGGTGCAGGGCTGCTGTTGAGACTGGGACGCAGTGCCCTCAGCATACCTTCCCAGGCTGGTTGCTGTCCCAAGGGGGCAGTGACAGGTAGTCCTGATGCTTCAGGGACTTAAAAAACTGAATGGCTGGTACCTGGGGCATGGGCTGGCAAGGAGGCTTCTTGACAGACAGATCCTGGTCTAGACCCACAATCTCAGGACACAGGCCTGGAGAAGGTGGTTTGCTATGTGGAGAGAGGGAGCCAGGCCCCAGGCCGGGGAGGAAGCAGTAGTCCCCCACCTGCTGAAGAACAAGGAGACCTTCGGGGTGTGGGGACCCTGGGGATACCTCCTCCCTCTGCTCTCCTGGGCTCACTGTGGGGCTGCTGGGCACAGGAGGGACAGGACTGCCCAGGGGGAACTTGCGGGGCTGGCTCATGCTTGGAGGGAGCTCCACATAGTCATCAACTTCTGATGCTGGAAGAGCTGGGCTTCCAGGAGGGACCCCAGGCAGCTTGAGACAGAGACAGGGACCCTGGGCTGAGGGGAGCCCTCGAGGGGAGCACAGAGAGATAGGCAGGGGCCCTGTGGGCAGGGTGAGCACCAGATCTGCAGGAGTGACATAACCGGAGGCCACCACAGGGTCCTCAGGGTCCCCAGAGCCTATGGGCAGAGTCACTGGATTGTCCTTTGGCCCCTGTCCTCCCACCGTCAGCTCAAGTGAAGGGCTGTCCCTCGGTTCCGTGGAGGGGCTCTCCGTGGCCCCCAGACTAGATTCACATTCCACATCCACATCCTGGCCCCGGCCCAGGGCCTGGGACAGTGGGACCAGCTGCACTTGTCCCCCAGGGGGCAGGCACAGGTACTCCAGGGAGCCTGGCAGTGCTGGCTTGGGGCTCCCACCCGTCTGGGGGTTCACCAGCTGGCCTGGGAGATCAGGCAGGGAGTGGGTCTGGAGAGGCCCCAGGTAGGGACCATTGAAGTCAAAGCTGGGTGTCTGGTCCTCAGGTCTGCCAGAAGGGGTTGGCGGGTCTCGCGGGGCATCGGAAGTCTGCTCCACGAGTTCAGGTGAGGCAGCTGGAGTTGTGTCAGGCCCGGGTGGTGGATCTTGGACAATTTTAGGGTCCTCTATGGTGAGAGGTGACACTTCATTGTCCCCCAAATGTGCACATGGCACCCTGTGGGGACAATAGAGGTGGAGATGAGAGATGTGGAACTTAGACACTGATGTATCCCCAGAGCAGGTTGGGTTCCCTGGAAGACCTGAGGCCCTCCGGACCTCACAGTGAGTGCAAAGGCATGGTGGAGGCGGGACCCTGCGAATGACGTAGATTCAGTGTCCCAAAGCACCCTGTACCCAGGGCTCAGTTCACATCACCATCCTAGGCTTGGCCCTCATCCTGTGTTCCGGGCAGCCCACTACCTTCAGGGCTGGCACACACTTGCCTGGGCAACATGCACGCCTGACACCCTCCTACCCACAGCGCCACTGATTCTCCCTGGCAGATGGGGCTTAGCTCTTGCAGACAGAGGTTTCCACTTCAGGATGCTGCCTCTTGTCCCCTGTCTGTCCCACCCTAACCTGGGAATCAGGAAGTTCCTCCTCAATCTACCTGGAGTGCCCCTTGCTTCTGTGGGTGTCGTCTCCTACAATCCCTTCAGAGGCCCACAGGCTACCCTGATCACAATGGAGATGTGTCCTCTTGCAGGTTCCCCGAGGGTCAGAACCCAAGCACTCACCCCTGTGTCTCAGCGAAAAGGTTGCTCCGTGGCCCCTGGAGAGTAAGGCTCATGGTGGCAAAGGCTGCCATGCTGCCGGGAGACCAGAGTCCTTTACCTCCGTCCTAGAAGGAAAGCACATTAGTTCCTGTGAATGAGGCCCAAGTGTCCCTCAGGGAGGAGGGGACAGTGGAGGATGGCGTGTGTCTATAGTGTCTTCCATGAGCTCCAGACATGCGAAGGATGTCCCCATGGTGGGGCTTGCTCAGGCCTCTGACCCTAAGAAAGAGCATGCCTGCAAGGGGCTGACTTCCCTCAGATCTCAAGCTCCTGAAGGGACCAGGCCACTCTCTTCTCTCATGGCATTGGCGTCTACCCATGCCATTGACTCAGGAGAAGCTGACAGCTGTGTCCTTGACACCCCTCTCTCGGGATATGATCCTCTGAGGGCACCCTTGATGCAGCCGGCTCTCCCACCAGCTCAGGGACATCTTGTGCTAGACTCAGGTCCTCTCCTGGGGGCCCTCAGCCTGCTCTGTACTCCCAGGAGCAGCCCCTACTGAGCCTTCCTCTGCAAGGGAATGCTCAGTTCTCTCTGAGGCCCCATGCTGCACTCAGGGAGATTTGTGGGATTCCTGCTCCTTTGGCTACCCAAGGAGTTCCAGAGCCCCATCCCCTGTTAGCCCCGCCTCCTGGGTCTCCCACCCTTCACCCCTGTGACAGTGAGGGGACAGGGAGCCCCCAGTGGGCCTGGCTTCCCACCTGGAACAGGAGGCTCTTGCTGGGGTTGGGGATTTTCTCTTTCCACTTCCTGTACAGCCTGGAAGACAGCAGGAAGACCTGTGAGTGAGAGGTTCCCGGGACCTCAGGCCCGGCCAGCCATGTGTCCGTGTGTACAGGGAAAACTGAAGCCAGGGGATGAGTGACAGGTTTGGCATGGCAGTGTGCCAGGCTGTGTCATCCCTGTGACCCTGGGCCCCGCTGTCCACTTGTCTTGTCCACAGACCGCACTCACCTGTACCCGTAGACACAGCCACAGCGGAAGGCCAGGAGCAAGATGAGGATGAGGAGCACCAGGATGATGACCATCCCCCACGTGGGCATCACTTGCTCAAGAGAGGGAGAAGGGAGGTTAGGTGGAGGCCTGGGATAAAGGCTAAGGGAGCCGGCTCTCTGTGAGGCCCTCTGTGATCCTGGGAAGAAGCTCTGGGTCTCAACCCAGGGCTCAGTGTGTGCGAGTTCTGCCCTAAGCAGGAGCAGCAGGAACCCAGAGGGTTCTGACTGACCCTGGTAAAAGGGGAGGGGGAGGGAAATGGGGAGGACCAATGGATCCCTCCAGCCTCACAACCACAGGCACTCATGTGTGTGTATGGCTAGTGTAGGTTTGCAGCCATGGTAACCTGAAGCTCAGAGTGACCAATGATGGCTGCCACCAAGTCCAATAACAGCAAGTGACCTATAAATAGATGCCTAAGCCCCAAATGAAAGGAGCAGCAGTGAGACAGAGCCTCTCCTCTCCAAGTCCCCACTCAGTGTCACATATACCAACTGTCATTCCCAGGACAGACACAGGGAGAGGGAGACCAGGGTGGAAAGGGTTTAGAGGCTCCCTTGCTGTGTCCAGTGGGACTGTCCCAGGAGAGTGGCGGTGTCCCAGAGACATACCCCAATCGGTGGTCCAGGTGTGCTCTTTGCTCCAATTACTCCAGATCCCATCGTAGTCAGGGAGGGTCTTGACCCTCACCCTGGCCACGTAGGTGCAGGATGGCTCCAGCTGTGGCAGCACCATGCTGTGGGCACGATCTAGGTTCTGTGTCTTGGTGTCCTGCAGTGGCAGATGTGTTGTAGTTCTAGTCCAGTTCAGGACCCAGTACAGACCCTACTGTCATCAACAATCCTAGTGACTCCAATTGTCACCTCTTCCAGCACTGACAGGCACACCCAGGCTCAAGCCCAGACTCTCTCTACCCCCCCCCCCATTTGTCTGCTATGCTGCTTTGGCCTAAATTGTGTCTGACCTAGGACAACCTAAAATTGTCTGACACTGGTTTACTAGGTCCTAGGTCTTGAGATGGGGCGGTGGTGGAGTTGATGGTGTCGGTGGTGGTGGTGGTGGCAGCGGGGCAGGTGCTGATGTCATCATTGGCCTCTCCTGACTCGATCTGACACCCTCTCCTGCATCAGTTTCCCCATTCCCTCTCTGAATAGCATACTTTGGTCTTTAGGGTCCCCACCCTACATCTGGGTGCCAGACCTCTGCAACTTTACGTGTGCTGGGCAGGACCAGCCCTGAGCAGTAGCGGCGGCCTCAGCATTTCCACTATTCGCTCAGATCTAGTTCCTGGGAGGAAACACTGCCAGACCTTGGTGATCATTGATACCTTCCTTCCAGGTACCTCTGCTGCCCCACCCGTCTCTGCCCTCTCTGCCCAAGGCAGCACCTGCCATGGGACTGGGTCATGTCACCTCTCAGAGCCTCAATCTTTCATCAAGAAAAGGGACAGTTGTCTGTTGTCTATGTGGGTTCTGGGGCACAGCGTTCAGGCTTCTGGATAAAAGTCTCTCTTTGGGGTTCTCTCTTTCCTTTCCTCCATGTCGCTTACTTCCCAGTGGGTTGTAGAACTCACCTCCCAGCTGTCAATTTTCCTCCTGTATTGGACCTGGAATTTATGCTCGATGTGAGGATAGGGCATTTTCTTAGTTTCCCAACGCAGGTTGTAGCTGTCCCCATCCTTAGTCACATTGAGAGTTGGAGGGTCCATCTGGACTGGAGGGGGGATAATTTCAGCAAATGTCATGGGGTCCTCCTTCCAGCAAAGAGTTCCCCATTATCCAAGCTGCTACCAGGTACTCATATCCCACATTGCAGTCAGATTGACTCTTTAGAACTCTGTGGTGGTTTGAATGAGAATGGCCCCCATAGGCTCATTTGTTGGAATACGTGGTTCCACTTGGTGGAACTGTTTGGGAAGGATTAGGAGGTGTGGCCTTGTTGGAGGAGGTGTGTCACTGAGTCATACTCTGCCTCTGGCTTGTGGTTCAAGATGTGTGCCTGGTGGTTTATGCCCTTAATTCTAGCCCTCTGGAGGCAGAGGCAGGCATATTTCTGTTAGTTTGAGGCCAGAATGATCTACAAAGCTACTTCCAGGACAGGCAGGATTAAATAGAAAAACCCTATCTTGAAAAACCAACCATCCAAGGAACCAAACAAACACAAACGGATGTGCTCCAGGTGCTGCTCCAGATTCCTGCCACTTTCCATTGCTCCTCCTGCTCTGCCATCATGAACTCTGAGCCTCTGCGACCATTATCCCAAAGTAAACTCTCTCTTTTATAAACCACATTGCTGATGACATCTTGTCACAACAGTAGGAAAGTAACTAAGACAAACACCCAGCATTTCCCAACACAGTTTCCCTAGCTGGTCCCTGGGGAGCGCTGAGGGAAGCCTCCAGGTGAGGTGGTCCAAAGCTTGGTGCTTCTGCTGGTGTTGGATTTCAGGCAGAGAAAAAGAGGCCAGTGACTCGCTATCTAGGTTCACAGACTGTTCCATGCCCTCGTGCAATGGACTGTTGTGGGATTTCCCCTTCTCTACTCTCCCCTTCCCCAGTGAGGTACTCTGCCTTCCCCATTTACACATGGGAAACTGAGCCCAGGACGTCTACAGATAAGGACTGAGCAGGCGAGAGCTTGTGTCTCCACTGTCCTGTGTCAGTCACTCCCCTCTGCTGCTTCAGTGACCCTGGGAGCGGCCTGAAGACAAGGTGGGCAACTAAGTCCTTGCTGTTCTAAGAACTTCCCCACGAACACCCACACGCCGGAGTCAGGCCTTCATGTATACTTGGATGAATATCTGCCCACCACACAGTGGTCAAACTGAAACAAGGAGACATTTGGTGGCCGTCCCCCCTTGGCCATCAGACAACGAACTGAGACATGACCATGTGTTCAGGCTTTCTTATGTGGCCTCATGTACATTCTGAGAGAGGAGGAAAATTAAGTCGCTGAGTCCCGCTGAGATTCTCTCTCCCCATCAGACAGAAGATTCACAACTTGATGACTTCAGAGGGGTTTTACAAATAATGTGGGTGACTACAATACACAGAGGAGCTCGCTTGAGTCAGAGGAATCCCTTTTCCAGGGTCCAGGCCATGTGCCAGGAGGTGTGACATGGATCCGTAAGGACGCCATCTGCTGGCTCACAATTCCCTGACACAAAAGCAGAGCATAGAGCAGAGGCTGAGAAGGAAGAACATTAGTTGGAGGAGAAGGCTGGGAATCTAAGGGGGGCGGGGGAGTTAGTAACCAGATAGTGATCCAAGGGAGGGACAAGTGTGCCACCGAGAGCAAGTGGAGAAGAAGGGGGAAGAGGTTTCAAGTCACTCTTCAGGGGTGACACGTGTCATCTGCAGCTGAGTGAGTTACCTGTGGGCTGTGGTTCCCTGGTTCATCTCCCTCCCCATCTCTCTGCTCTCTCTGCCTCTGCCACGCCCTCTCTCTGTTGCATTTGCCTGCATGTAGGTGTGGGCACCGATACATAGACTTGCAGAGGCAATAGAAAGATGTCCTGACCTTCCTTTCTCTGTGCCTATTCTCTTAAGACAGGGTTTCTCACTGAGCCTGGATCCCAGGTTGGTAGCCAGAAAGTCCCATCAATCCTCCCGTCTCTTGCCAGGTACATATGAGCACACTCACATTTTCATGTGGGTGCTGGGATTCGAACTCAGGTCCTCATGCTACTTCAACAATCACTCTTACCTATTGAGACACAATCCTAATCCCAGAATACTCATTTTATCAATTTGAGTCACTTTTCTGAAACTCTTTGAAAAGGACCAACACAAAGATGCCAAAGAGATCCATCCCTGTGTTTATCGGGGTGACACAACGGATCCCACAGTCTTTGGAACCCAGGCAGAGGCAGGGCAAACTCACTGTGTGAAGAGCTCCTGATGAGCTTCCCCTGTTTCCGCAGCTGAACAGAGACTGTGTACTGACTGTGCGAGCTGGGGTTGGGCACAGTCAGACTGCAGTGGTAGCGGGTGCAGACGCTATCCTGCAGCTCCTTCACCACCGGCGAGCATTCCTCCTCCCTGGGGAAGCATACGGGAGCTGAGAGCAGGGTGAGGGGAGGGTCAGCTCAGGCTAAGACCTCAGAGAGGAACAGGCCTGGGGATAAGAAGAAGCAGGGCCAATGGAGAGGGGACACTCACGGAGCAGCTGGGCTGGAGCTGTAGAAGAGCCCAAAGGAAACAGAGGTTGTCATCTGGGTCCTCACCTCCCAGGAGCAGTTGAGGGACTGGATGCCATCGAAGAAGCACTGTAGGTTCTGAGGCTGGGCCTTGTCCCCTGTGGGGACACACCGGGCCTCGGTCACTCCACCCTCAGCCTTTCCCTAGGTTGGAACACTGCTGACTCACATTAAGAGGGCTTGAGAGCAGCAGAACCTGATTGTGGACATCAGCCACCTCTGCTCCAAGCCTGCCTGCTGTGTGTCCCCGGCTTGGGAAGGCCCAGGTAACTCTGTCCCATCTTGGGAGAGGGGCCCAGGTCTTAATGTGGAGTGTTGGGATGAACACAGGGACACAGGTGACCCTACACACTCCCCAGTACTTGTCAACACACAGGGCCTATGCTTCTGCTGTTGCTGTCATGATTGCCGCTGTCATTCTCAGAACATACATGGCACCCCGAGCACAGAGTGTGTGAGACAGAGTCGCCCAGAAAGAATGCTGGGGACACAGGCATGGTGGGAAGTGCTGGTGACAAGCTGGGGCAGATGCTGCAGCCTCAGGCGAGACGAAGCCTCCACTGTGTGGCCTTCTAAGGGAGCACTTCCTATGGGTCCCATTACCTGGCTGGGAGTCCCACTGCACCTCTGGGCTCCATCTGCTGGGCCTCCCAGTCAAGGCTGAGCCTGGGGACAGCCGAGTGCGCACACGGGCCACATAGGTGTTGCTGGGTAGGAGCAGCTTTGGCTCCAGAGTGGCCCACAAGTTGCTGGTGTGGAGGCTGGGTGCATCCTGTGGAGACAGGGCAGCTGAAGGAGGAGCTTGCTGGCTCATTCCACAAGGCTGGCATGCATGCTTCAGGGTCCTACCTCCCAGGAGTCCTGAAGACGCTTGTAAGACACCTCAAACTCTAAGTCCTCTTGTGACAGCCAGGACACCCGGGCATCCCCAAGGGGCACGCTCCACTTCAGCAGGAAGTGGTCCCCAGAGGGACTGATGTTGATGTCCTTGGGAGGCGGGGGCTGCACTACAGAGGAGGAGCAGAAGGGTTGTCAGGGTTGCATCCTGGGGGACCTGAGCGCAGCCTGTCTTTCTGGATGCCACTTGGGCCCTGGTTCAGTGCTGATCCCATCAACTGATGGGCAGCAACAATAAAAAGAACCTCAAGACCCTGCCTGCAGCTTCTGAGCTGGAACCTGAAAACCTGGGTATCACAATTGTCAGCAGCCCTGCCTGGTAGGGCCTAACATTCCATTAAATGGGGCCTCCTCCTGTTCTGGTGTGCACTGTGGCCTTACTGCCAGCAGGGGGCGCAGGGAGCCACCCCTGCTCTACTCCTGCTACCTATTCTCTCCACCACTCAGTGCCTAGTGTTGTCATAGCCCAGAAGAAGGGGCTTCTCTCCTGGTGACTCTCTGGACTCCTGTCCCCAGACAAAACCCCATGTCCCTCTTCTTGCTTCACCACAGCTCATTGTAACTCCCATCCCTCCCTTGTCACACTAGGATAAGTTTCCGGTTTTGCCTTCCTCTTTTTTAAGTGATGGGTTGACATGAGGCTGCCTGTATCTCATGTTCTCCCTGGCATTGCCCAACTCTTTGCTCTCGATGCTTCTTATAGGCAATGACCCTGTCTGGGTTTTCCAGCTTGTCAATCAGCCTTTGCACTTGGGGTTTCCTGGGCTAGAATTGCTTCTGGTTCTGAGCTCCTCCCAAAGCAAGCACTCAGCTGCACAGCTCTCCATGCATCCTGGGACACCATTCCTGACTGCCAGAGCCCTTTGAATTCTGTCCCCTCGTGTGGCAGCCAGCTCCTGTGTGTGTCCCAACCCTTCATCCTGAAGCCCTGAGGCCCCCTGGAGGTGGGACTCTCTCAGACACCAGAGGCATTCACTTGACAACAGCTCTCACCCTAGCATTGCTGGAGGAGAATCAGGACCCATGGTGCCCCCCTAAGAACCTGACCAGTGCTTGAGCTTTGAGTGACATTGCAAACCTCAGCTTCCTCTTCCCCTGTCATGCTGGAGACATGTCTGCTATAGTCCCTAAAAATCTCACAGGTCATCATTGGATCCACCTAAGGCCATGCTGTACCAATGTGCCTTGTGGACCTGCTGCACACCAGGGGGTCCAGGGAGGGCGCCACAAGCCTGGGTCTGAATCAGAAACATGGAAAGTGGTTGGCCGTGTGACCTATCATGGCCCTCCCTCTTCCACGGTGGTACTTGGAGACTACTGTGTGTCTTGGAGACTCAGCCATAGGCAAGGAGTTGTAGCTTTGAGATAAGTCAACAGAGACCAGAGTTCTGTCACCTGGAAAGTCCTACAGGAGTCACAGGTATGGCTCCTCCTTGAGGATACTTTGGGCCATTGTATGTGGCAGAAAGAGCTAGGACAGGATGAACCTCAGACAGAGGCCCACATAACATCACATCTATTCTGAACCCCAGGAAAGGGTCCGTTAACCCGGGAGAAAGTCACTCTAGGCCACCCTGGTAGCTTTCCCCTCCTCACATCCTCATAGGCAGGACCTCTGCTCCTCACCATGCTGGGCCAATGGAACCACGAGCTGGACGCCCACATCCCGATCTGGCTGGAAAGAGTAGAAGTCTTCATCTGCAATGCTGAACCGTGTGTAGGGGATGACACACCTTCTGGGCACACAACGGTGGGGGGACGGACACTTTCTCCACAACAGGTCCTCACTGAGGTCGCAGGACACTGGAGAGTCCCTGCCATTAACATTGCGTTAGCTCCTACTGCATGCCTAGTTTATTCAAGGTCAATGGCAGGCAGTGAACAACACACACACACACACACACACACACACACACACAAATTCACATATATACACAGAAAGAGAGACACACAAATGCACACAGAGACTCAGAGAAATATATACACACATACATACATATACGCACATACACACACAAACATATATATATATATATAAAACACATGCACTAAGACACACAGAGCATAAACAATGCAAACACACAGAGGTGTATATACACACAAAGACATCCACACAGAGGCACATGCACATATACACAATACAGATACACAGACAAACGCACACATATACTGCAGAGACACAGAGACACACATGCACACTAACTTCACAAGCAGTGAGCACCCTTATGAGGACAGACATACAGCAAACCACCCATTAATATAAGTGTTATGAGAACATGCTGAATAGGATCAGAATACAAGGATCAGGAGTCTAGATTTGGCTGTGAGCACAGCTGGACTCGCTGCATGTGTGATATATGCAGCATCTCCAAGGACTTGGGAAAAGCTGGCCGTTTCTGCAGCTGGCTGATTGCAGCAAATGCAAAGTCCCTGGGGTTGCCACCAGGCCTGAACCAGATGCACAGAGGGGAGAGTGTGTGCAGCCCAGGGTCCAGTTAATGATTTGCCTGTGCAGTGCTCACAAGAAATCTGACTGCAACCCAGGGGCAGTCTAAAAAGCCTCTGGCTTTAAAGGCTTTTACGTGGCTGTGAAAATGGCTGATTGGCAGTCACAGGGCAGAGCAGTATGTAAATCCTGGTCTTCCATGAGCTCTGCTCTAGACAGCACCTCTGATCAGGGACATAAGAAGATGTCAAGGTCAATCTCAAGGTGAAGTTCTTCTGCTCTCCCTCTCTCTGTATCTCCAGCTGCAAGGGTAACTGTCCTTGAGAAAACACACTGAAGACACAGGACCATAAAAGCCCAGGGGAAAAGCTGCAGATCAGAACCAAGAAATCTAGCAGAGTCACTGTGTCTAGGGGAAACATTCAAAAGAAGCAGTTGTTTTCTAGAAGTACGTAGACCTTGAGGAAACCATTCTAGAAAACAGTGACTGTTTTCTGTTAGCTCTGTTTTCTGTATTTCAGGAGCTTTACAGCCTCTGCATGATTTCATCACGAGACAGTGTAGGCACATCTGGAAAGTCATGCATTACTGGTACTGCTCAAAGTGCACAGTGAGGACTGATATTGCAGGGGTGATGCTCTCCTACACCAGACTTAGATCAGATCAGGGCTTGGGTATGAGGAGTTCATTTTACCCAAGAAAGAACTTTTGTGTTCCAATCAATACATGTGCTTCTGCATTGACAGTAGTGTTCAGACCATCAGACAGCTCATCTCTGGTGCCTCAGGCCTGTCTCTCTCTTTGTATCTCTCTCTCTCTGTCTCTATCACTCTCTCTGACACACATGCACACACACACGGTGACAACCATACATATTAATATGATCTCTCTCGATGTGCAGCCGCAGGACAGCCAATGAACCAATGGCCATATCATTGCAGCGTGTGTGTCTGAAATCCAGATTACACTGAAACTTTTGACTGCGTGGTAACTGCCTAAAATCCCACCTGACACCAGTAGGTCCTTCTCCCCAAGTCCTACAGAAGTCATACAGTTGTGACCCCAATGCAGGGGGTCCTCAGGCAACTTATTCCCTGGAAACTTGTTTAGATTATATACTTGTCAGTGAGTCCCTTCCCTGACCCTAACAACTTGTCCCTGAGTATTGGATTTCATGATGCAAGCCAAACAGTCTTGAGTCCTGCTACAAGGAATGAAGGTTCCAATGTGTGTTTGTAGGGAACTGGGAGTGAGGGAAGACAGACTTGTTTCTGTGCAGGATTCAAAAGATTTCACTGAGTACGGGAAGGACTTAGTGCGGACAGACTTAGAGTGATGGAATAGGAACATGGCACCATGGTGATTGCAAACACTCTGTGTGGTTGTGCTGTCCGTGCTGCTCAGTCCTGCTTCTCCCCGGGAGACAAACTTAGCAGTGTTCACTGAGAAGCAGGACAGGAGGGAAAAGGCATCTTAGAGCAGCCATCCCAGTCATTAATCAACTACCATTTCCTCCCAGTTAATGAAGCGAGCCGTGGAGATGGAGGCAAGAGCAGAATTTGGCTCATGGCACTGGACTAGAAATGGTCATTCGCACCCGAGAGTCTCTGCCCATGGCCTACAGTGGGTTCTCCAAAGACTGCATATAGATAGGAGGCCAGGGTTGCATTTGGAGATCTCACTCTCTACAGTGGACAGAGGAAAAAAGGGAGCCAAGGGAACGGCAGTTGTCAGAAACACCAAGGGACTTCACTGAGTGTGGCGGCCGGGAGTCAAGGGAAGGAGAACTACCAGGAGGTCGTCCTGGGTGCCTTGGTCGATGAAGGTCCAGGCTTGGCCATTTGACTTGGGTATTTCTGAGCGGCAGGTGCAGGTTGGTTCCCTTGGAGAGAGCTAAATCCTGGGGTGTGATTTCAGTCAAGATATAGTGGAAAGACATTTAGGGACTGTGGGTTCTTTGTGGGGGGGTGAGGTAAGGAGCTGAGGAGGCAGGGACAGGATGCTCAGGGCAGGAGAGGCCTGGTGCTGCAGACACTGCAGGTGTTGGGGATAGTGGTGGCACGTCACGGCATGCAGGAGGTGGAGATGCTGGTGACAGCAAGGTCCTCGTGCTGCTACACCAAAGGACTCAGTGGTACTCACTTTTCTAGCTTGCGGTAGAGCGTCAAGTTAATGAGGCCCTGGGCCTCTTCCGTGTCCGCCCAGCTGCAGATGATGCGTCTGGTGTAGTCATTGTAGCACTGCAGAGTCTGCAGAGGGACAGTTTCTGAAGAAGAGAAGCAGGAGAGTCACCATCTCCCCTCCAGGTGTCCCCTGTCAGTCAACTCTGGGTTCTGGGTTTTGTTAGTGTGGCTTTTTGTTTTGTCTTTTTGAGACAGGGTCCTACTCTGTGACGGTGCTGGCCTGAAACTTGCTATGTAGAGCATGCTGGCCTCGATCTCCCAGAGATTCTCCTGCCTGTGCCTTCTGAGTGCTGGGATTAAAGGCCTGCACCATGAATCCCTGATTCCCACAACTCTTTTAATCAGCCACACCGCTAGCTTCCTGCTGAGGTTCACCACCCAGTGACCAAACAGATGGATGTCTGGAACCTGGCCGGGCTGTGTTGGGGCTGCTTCTCTCCTGTCAGGAGCGTGAGACTCCAGTGGATCCTCAGCTGTGACTGCATGCCCTGTGCTGCTCAGGCCCTCGCTACCTAAGAGCATTGCTCAGGCCTGCCGTGTTGTCTGAGGTGTCACTTGGCAGGACAGACACTCAGGGCCTGGAAGTAGCTGCCGTCTCCCGATCCAGGGTCCCGATTGCTGAGCCTTGGCCTCTGAACCTGGGATTGGTAAAGGGCCTTGGCTCCCACAGTGTCAAAGAGGAAGTCTAAGGGCACTGAGGATGGTCTTCCGGGTTCAGAGGCCTCTAGGGTATCCCACAGGCCTCTATGAAGAGGAGGGGGCTGGAGAGATTGTGGCGAGGGGGTCTTAGGCCAGAGTCCACAGAAGCAATGTTTTAGGGGACCCTGAATTCCTCTTGGGAGGAGAGCGTCTGGCAAGAGTGGCAGAAAAGACACTGGTGCACTGGAGGTTGGGGCTTTGGGGGCTACACTGATGAGTGTGCGCAGAGGGACACCCTTGGGCTCCATGATCCAGCAGCAGGCAGGGATGGGCAGGAAGATGGAGAACAGGGAAGACAGGGACCCAGGGAGCCCCGAGGGAGAAAAATGAGGGTACAGTAGAGAAAGGAAGGCAGAGATGGATACAGGGGCTGGAGCTCTGGTGGTCTGGGGGTTTCTGGGGATATGGTGGGTGTGGCTCCTGCCTGACTCAGTTAAAAGGGGGATGAATAGGAAGGGGCCTTCAGATGTACCTTGTGCCTCTGTCACACCAGGTCTCCTGCAGAGAGCCAGCAGGGTCATGTAGAGCAATCCCCAGGCCAGTGACATCTGCTGCTCCATTCTGAGACTTCAGGTGGCTGCCCAGAGTGGCTGTAGCTATGAGCAGGGTGGCGTCCTCATTGTCCTGGGGTTCTGTGTTGCTGCCTGACTGGAGATTGGACCACACTGGTGTTACAGGCCTTATAAGTCCTTACTCATAGGCTGCACCCTCTGACATTGTAGACGATGTGTAGGCTGAGAGCTGTCCAGAACACTGCTGATGCCAGAACCCAAACAAGAGGTGTGTTGTCCTGTGACTGCTCCCTCCCTTAAGCCCTACTGTCTAAAGCATGACCATGGGAGAGATGGGCCTGATGTCCTCAGAGGCATGAGGTTCTCCTGAAACCACTGGGCCAGCGATCAAAGTGCTTAACTCGAACCAGGCCACACAGAGGAATTGAGACCCCCACCTTTGATGGATTCAGGTGTGATCACTGTCTCAACATGTCTCTACACACACACACACACACACACACACACACACACACACACACTCCCAACCTTGCTCTCTAGCACATATAGAACCTGATGATGGGTAGATAGGTGGGGCCAGAGGGGGAAGGGAACCTAAGTGTCATCCCTCTTTTGTTTCTGTCCACACACACACACACACACACACACACACACACACACACACACGCATGCAGAGCCTGGTGCTCTCCCCACCTCTGCTCCGTGGACCATCAGGTCTCCCACAGGCCCCTCTGCTTCCCAGTTCCCCTTTCTCTGAAGCCTGGGGATTTCCTCCTTTTCACTAAGTTCACCTGGGAAGTACCAGAGGCGCAGTAACCTGCTGCGGCCCCTTCTCCTACAAGGTTATTTGAAACTTCAGTCGACAAACACACAGCACTCACATCTGTGTCCATCTGTCATCTGTCTATCGATGCATCTGTCTACCTATGTATCTACAAATTATCCATCTGTCCACCCATCCTTCCATCTATGTACATACACATATGTCCGTTTTACTATCCCTCCATGTGTATGTATCATGTATCTATGTCTGTATACCCATTCGTGTTATTATCTATATACCTTTCTATATATAGATCTATCATCTATTTACCTTTCTAGCTATAGATTTATCTATCATCTATCTACCTTTATATATAGAGAGAGATAGATCTATCTATCTTTCTATCTACTGATCTACCTTTTTATCTATAGATCTATCTTTCTATCTATTGATCTATCTATCCATCTATCTTTCTATTGATCTGTCTATCTATTTATAGATCTATCTTTCTACCCACAGATCTATCTGCATTTCCATCTATAGATCTATGTATCTATATTTGCCTGTCTCTTTCCTAGACAGTCAATGGGCATCTTGATGGGAACAAGTGTTATTTAACCACAGAATGTTCTGTATAAATGGAATAGCAAAGAGTAAACAATGTAATATGATGAAATATTTCATTTTAAAGTGAGAGATGACTGACACATTAAAAACAAAACATAAATCCCAAACCTCTATCTCACACCACTCCCCAAACCTGAGGTTAATTAAGAAGTCACACACTAAGGGTGCAATCACATCCAACCATTTCCACCCCCACCCTTGTGGTGATTAAGCTAAAAAGTAATAGAATATTCTGAGACAAAGAGTGATGAAAGTGTTTTGTAGCCCAACCCCCTGCTTCCAGAGTCACCCAAAAAAACTATACCAATGTCTTAATCTGGGAGGACTAATGTCATAGCATACCACTGATGGGCAGTTCATAAAAAATGCGACATTTATTTCCTGAAGTTCTGGAAAATGTCAAAGCCAAGGTCAAGGCATGAACAGGGTTGAGGTCTGACGAGGCCTCTTCCTCATGGGCTTCTCACTGCTACCTGCTTAGTAGAGGCATCAAGGGAGCTTCCAGGATATCTAATATGTGGGTGCCAATCCCCTCATGAGGGCTCTGCTCCTCAGACCCCATCAGCTCCCAAAGGCCCCATCTCAGGTACCCTCCCATTGGGGATGTAGTTTCAACATAAGAGTCATAAGGGACATAGATATTCAGTTCCTAACACTTTAAATCATGGAGAACAAGTTACCATCATCGACTGTAAATAACAACAGAGCTGTGTCATCAAAGAACAAGGGCAGAGCATTTAAAAAACAATGAGAATCCATGCCAGCACCAACTAAGGTTTAATGCCCACCATCAGTCAGGAGGTGTGCAGACAGCTCTCCAAAAATTGGTATGTCTTGGTGAAGGCAGCTGTTAGAACCTTTACATAGAGGAAATCATATAGGGATGAGTGACAGGTCCACAATACCTCAACTGTGAGAGGACCTGGGACTGAGCCCAGGTTGGCTTAGGACTTTCTCTCTCTAAACATGCTTCCTGGAATGTTTGTGTTTCCTGACTGGTGGTGGTGGACATGTCCTGTGTCTGCTCCAATGCAGACAGTTCTGACATACTACGATTGACCACACACAGCACAAGCAGAGGAAAAGTTGAATTCTGTGCCTGTATGCTTGGGTGCTGCAGAACCAAGAGCCATTCAGACACAGACTGCTGTTGTCAAAATGATTTGTCTGAAGTATGACACCCGGGCTTCTGGAGTAACCAATGCAATGATGGGTCAGATCACAGAACAGACCACAGACAAGCACCCGACTGAGGGGGGTTGCTAAGATGAGGACACATCAAGGCAGAGAGCACTCGTCAGGACACCACGCAAGCTCTGAAGAACAAATCAAGCAGAGGGCAGGGCGTTAGGGACACATGTGGCCGCCCCCCGGTGTCAGCTGCCTAGCTGTCCCTTGCCTTCTTAGCTCCTTTTGCACAGATAAAAGGTACTCCTCACTCTCTCCTGCGAGCAAGACAGCATGCCCTAGCTTCACAGAGAGACCAGTTTAGTAGGGAAGCATTACCACTGCGTGAATAAAACTGGGTGAGCACACAGCTGTGGCAAGGGCGAGGTTAACTCACATGACTGGGGTGAGTGGTGGCTCTGAGGCAGGCACTGAGGAGAACTGAAAACTGGCTTGATGAGGGCCCCCCATGCTAATGAACCCAAGTGCTGGCATAGAATGTAAATCGGGAGGAGTCACTGAGACGTAAGGATTGAGTCGGGGCCTTGGTGTGCTTTCAATCCCAGCTGCTAGGGAGGCTGAGGTGGGATTATCACAGACTAGGCGTTTGGGGCTAGCCTGGGCAACACAGTGAGAATCTGTCTTAAACAAAACAAGTAAGGGTTTAAAGTCACTAAGGACAAATTGAGGTGAAGACAGAAAGTGTTTCGATGCCCTAACCCTGACCTTATGGGGAAATAAGAGCAAACAGAAATGTACCCAAGTAATTTCCCAAGCCCATTGGACATAGATTTGTTAAAGGAGCTCACGCGGTGGCCACATATGGAGCATTTGACAAGGGAAGGAGAGCCAGGGAGAAGTCTATTCATAGTTCATCGCCAGCAAGAGGCAAAAGTACCAGTTCAGTGACAGGACCACGGAAATGGTTAACCTGCTAGTCATACTGATGACCTGAGTTTGTCAGCCTGAAACCCAGGGCAGTGTCAGAGCCTGAGGGACTTGCAGGCTGCCCCTCCTAGCCAAGGCAGACATGGGAGAAAGTCCCACCTCTGTCTCCAACGGACAGACTTGCTGAAATTAACCCTGAATCTCAGTGCAACATAAATGAAGGCTCTAGAAAGATGTTTAATGCCCTGGATGGGATGATTCTGAACTCCAAGGCATGGGAGAGAAGAGACATGCTCAACTCCCAAGAAAAAACAGTAAGTGTAGATAAATAAAAAAATAAAGATATAATCAAGTGCATCAAATCTTACAAAGCTGGAGACCAGTCTCCAGCCACAGAGAAGGAGGGGGCGGCACAGGTGTGACTGGAGACTTCTAGCCAATGAGGGGACCATGCTTTTAAGTTAAATTGTTTCTTTACATCTTACCCTCTACTACAAATCCAATGTGAATTAAAGATCTCAAACTTAAAACTAAAACTCTGAGAGCATTAAAAATACATCTTTAATCATAGGGGTAAAACGCAACATTGAAACCAGAAACCACAAAGCCAAACAATACCCAAGCCAGCAAACAAGGCTGGAGAGGTGGCTAGGTGGGTACAGGATATGAATCTGAGTTCAAGCCCAGAAGCCACATGAAAAAACTGGAAGTGTGGTGGCATTTGCTTTTGATCCCAGCATTCAGGAGACAGAGAAAGGCAGGTATTGGGCGCTTTCTGAACGGCCAGCCTCGTGTACTCACTGAGTTCCCGGCCAGTGAGAGCCTCTGTCTCGGGAAGGAGGTGGGCTGCACCCGAGAAGGGCACCCACAGCTGTCTGCCGGCCTTCACATGCACCCACACATGTATGCACCCACACATGTATGCACTCACACATGTATGCAGCCACGCATGTATGCACCCACACATGTATGCACCCACACATGTATGCAGCCACGCATGTATGCGCCCACACATGTATGCACCCACGCATGTATGCACCCACACATGTTCGCACCCACGCATGTATGCACCCACACATGTATGCACCCACACATGTATGCACTCACACATGAATGCACCCACACATGTATGCACCCACAGATGTATGCACTCACACATGAATGCACCCACACATGTATGCACCCACACATGAATGCACCCACACATGTATGCACCCACACGTATATGCACCCACACATGTATGCACACACTCATGTATGCACCCACACATGTACGCACCCACGCATGTATGCACCCACGCATATATGCACACATACGTATGCACACACACATATGTGCACCCACACATGTGTGCACCCACGCATCCACGAGCACACACAGAGCAGACAACACAGTGACAGACGACGGGAACCTTCTTTATGACACAAGACATCTTAAACCTGACGAAGGGAAAAGCCCGGGAACTGTATTTTCATCCCATGTAAGTAAATACGGATACATGGACTAACTGATTTGGCCCTCAAACATGTAGATGAAAATTTTGAAGCAGTACAAAGGGAAACTCCATCCTGTACATTGAGACTTTGGGGGGTGTCAAGTCCTGTTGCTTTTTCAGTGGGATGACTCCACAATACCTATTAATATTGTAATCACTCCTCTGGGATATGGCTAAAACCAAAGACACTGCAAGACCCACAACCCAGAGGATGGGCGCTGTTCCAGTCTGCCAGAGAGATAAAACAGATTTGGAGGAATCAAGGGAGAAACCCAGGACAAAGACAGAGAGTGCAGAGCCTGGAGAAAGTCTGGCGGGAAAGGCTTGGTGTAAGGAAAGGGAAACGGGTTTCTGGAGTGAGTGAGATGACGGACTCTGGGCAGCCTGTCTGGAGACGGCTCATCCTTTGCACCTCAGAGCTGGGGAGAGAACATGGCCCCAGAGAGGACGCTTCACTCAACAGATGACAGGACTAGATGTTGGGGATGCGCCAAGAGGCTCTGCAGAGGTCCCCAGGCCCCACAATAGCTGTCACGGCAGTGAGGACGACCTGCTCACTAAAGGAAAGACTGAGGAGCGAGTCTGCTGCTGACTGAGAGGCAGCCAGGAGAGTCCTCTACACCGCGCCACTCCTTATGAAAAGAGGTGAACTTGTCACCGTGTCTGGGAGCTGCAGCTCAACACCTGCTTGTGTTTCAACTTATGAGTGTGGAAAAACTAGCTGTACTCTAATGGGAGCCAAGATTGGTACACTGGCTGTGAGAGTCACATTAGGAAAACTGCTGGGATTTTCTGTTGATTATTTTCTTTTTTCTGTTGTAACATTGGTATGGCATTGGTTACTTTGGACAAATGCTAAAACCTTTTGGAGTTGATTTTTTCTTCATGTGAAAAGGGTTAGGTGTTGTAGATCGCTCCTGTCTCTAAAAGCTGGAGACGTTTTCTGATAGGCGTTCATTAGGACTGACTTCCTAGGCATGCCAAAGGTCACTCTGAGTCTTGCTTTGTTTCTTTGCCGTTTGCACACAACACTTCTGTTAGCAGTGTTTGCTTGGTTTATAGTCACTAACTCAAAGCCATGGGTGATAAGCCCATGTTTCTGAGATCCTCCCACTCTAAGGAATTCAAAGAATGAGGTCAGGTTGGGTGGGATGTACTGAGCCAGAGCCTTTCAAATCCAGCAGAGGACACAGAGCTTCCTCATGCAGATCGCGCTGGATGATTTAAAAGTGACCACTTCTGAACACCAACCTATAGGCACACCAATGCAGGGATGTGTTGTCACATCCGTGACTCTGGATTATCCTCAACCTTAATAAATCTGAGTGTCTGAGTCTTTGACATTAAACACTGATGAACCCGTGCCCTCTCCTACAGTAGTGGGGCATGAGTAGCTTGTCGCAATGAAAGTAACGCTGATGACAGCAGGGGTGGGAGTTGCCAGGAGTGGGTGCAAAGTTTACTCACTGTGAAACTACAAACAAGGGAGATAGGATTTAATAAAGTTCAAATCTGAATATGCAAAATGTTCTGGTAGGGAATCTAAGGAGGAAAAACCCTACCGGCACACTCAGAAGCCTGTTAGTGTGGCTACAAACCAATCCCCCTGAGTGGACAGCACACACACACACATACACACACACACACACACTCACACACACACACACACACACACAACTACCTCCACTCAGACACTCACCCGCTGTCATGGGAAAAGGCCCAGGGCATTGCAATGAAACAATCAGGTCTTATTTCTGTGAGAGTTTCAATAAGAGCAGTTGAGAGATACTGTGGGAAAGTTCTTAAGGAAGAGGAAAGAGAATCGTGTGTCTAGGGGTGGATGGGATCCTTTTACAGTGTGGCATGTCTGCTAGACTGAGGAGGGTAAGTTATGGAGGAGGAAGTATGCCCAAGGGGTCTCAGGCCACTTGCTGTGCACTGTTATGTAATCCAGGAAAATCAGAGGAGCTCTTTCCCAGCTACTTGTGCTGTGGTCAGTGTTGCTAAAGAAATCAGGATCTGAGGTTTAACGTCTCCCCGGGGTGAAGTGTGTAGAGGTCTTGCAGAAGCAGCTGAGAGATCAGTCCTTAGGCAAGTGAGACCCATCCCAAAATGCAGTCAAGAGGGTCCTGAGCAGTGGTTGTCAACCTTCCCAATGCTGCGACCTTAATACAGTCCTCATGTTGTGGTGACCCAGATGGTAAAATTATTTCCATTGTTACTTCATAACTGTCATTTTGTTACTGTTACAAATCATAGCCTGAATGTCTGTGTTTTCCGATGCTCTTGGGTGACCCCAGTGAAAGGTCATTCAGCCCCAAAGGGATTGCGACCCACAGGCTAAGAGACTGACTTAGAAAAAAGGCTACAAGGCGACACCTTCCTGAAGAGTGCCCAGGTCACCACAGTAGAATAGGGCTGAGAGCAGGTGTCTCTGTGTCAGCAGATCTGGGAGATGGCACAGACCCAAGCCCCGTGGCCCTGGGACCTAGCACTAGGTTTCCCAGCACAGACACACAGAAAATCATGGGGACCCCAGGGCCTCACCTGAGAGGATGGGGGTCTAGGGTTAGATGCAGGGAGAGCAACAGAGAAGGACAAGGAGCTCACAGGGCAACGTCACAGATGCCCCAGGTTCCGTTACGGGATGTTAGGTTCCAGCAAAAGGTTTGTCAGAGCCGAGCCGACTGCACGGTAGGGTCGGAAGTGACATTTCAGCCCATCCAGACAGAGAAGGAGTCTTCTGTTAAAGCCCTTTAGAAAGCAGTAGGGAGAGCAGTGGAGATGCAGTACAGAGGAGGTGAGGGTTCCTTTCATTGGCAAATTAGGTTAAAGGCACCATGTGCTGGGTTTGATCTGAGGCAGGGAGCTCAAGGACATTCTTGGGTTCACAGGTGACAAGATTCCAACTATGGTTAATGTGTGACTTGAGGGTCCCAGCACGCAGCATGCGTGAGACAGTTAGTTTGTGACCTATGAGATATGACAGTGGTCAGGGTGTCTCTGACTGCAGTCAGCATGGGGACTGAGTGTATCATCGTTCAGGAGGGACAGATCCCCTGCTATGTGGTGAGACGTCTCCCAGGCAGCACCTTAGGTGTAGAACGTACTCATCAGGGCCTGAACCCAAAGCACCTGGAGTGGTTCAGAGTTCAGTGGGATCAGAGAAAACCAGAGGAGGAGAGACAGAGGGGATTTATCTGCAGGACTGGGATAAAGAATGCTGGAGACAGAGGCAGAGATCTACAACCTACCAAGGTACTGGATGGAACTTGGCAAGCTCGCTTGGAAAGGGTCAGAGACATACCACATTACCCGGTGTTCTCTGCCTCTGCGTCTCTCTTCCCTTCTCCTCCCTCCATCCATTTCTAATTGAGAACACAGGGGTTATGTCTCCCACTCACCCTGTCCCGCAGCCGTGTGGCTGGAAGCCTAGGTCAAGAATAGAACTAAAACATCGGTGTTAAAATAAGACCGAACAGTGTACTTACCCAGGCAGAGCTTTCAAGGGAGCTCTCCCTGCCACCAGACCTCCAGTGACCAAGCTGGGTCCTCGCGGAGTCCCAGAGCAACCCTAACTCTCACCCTCCCAGAGCACTGGCTGTGAGCCCTGCTGGTTACTCCTGGGTGCCCCCTCCCCTACAAACTGCCTTGGGGTCAGGGATGCAGTTTTCCTAGCGAGGCCCAGTGTTACTCCTTAGGTCCCTGGAGGAAGCTGCCACCCGGGTCCTTCTCCTCCTGTCCCTTTCTGTCCTGGAGACCCTCAGCACCCCTACTCTGAGCTCACCTTCAGCTCTGTAGCAGGGAGCCTCACCTCTGCAGCGGGTCCAGGCAGCCTCCTTCGGGAGCCTCCAGGCAGCAGTGAGCCTTAGGCGCTTCCTATTTATTTGTGCCACGTCGGGAGGAAACAGAGAGCAGAATGAGGAAGCGGCAGTGCCCTTTCACAAGCAGCTTCGCCTGCTTCTCAGAACTGCGGACATGAGTCTCTGACAGCACGCACGCCATTTGTTTCTGCCAGGGATCCTTGTGCCCTCTGCCTCCCGCTCAGCTCAGGCCTACTTCAAATCTCAGCCCAGGAACGGCCTCCTCCATGCCGCCTTCCCTGACCCCTCTGGAGGAAGCAGACACAGTGGGCAACATCCACCTCCCTGCTGGATGTGAGCCCAGAGCCAGGCAGAACTAGGGTGGACCCCAGGGACACCACTCCTCAGCTTGTGGCCTTATGCAAATCAGCTACAGGTGGCCCCTGCAAGCCTTGGGACCCCTGGTGGCACTTTTCTAGAAGCACTTATGAACCAGAAGGGTTTTGAGGGAAAGCCATCCATGTGGAAAACCTGAGTTCACCACCCTCAGTGAGCAGCAGAAACATTCTGGATGCCTGGTGGGTCGTCTCTGCTTTCTGGACCCTGCCCTGGAATCCACTGTGACCTTCCCCCAACTTGGTCCTAGTACAAGTGAGGGTCTGCCTCCATCCCTGCCAGAACCCAGCCATGGCTCACACCTCATGCCTGGTGTGAAGGGAATGAATGAATGAACGAAAGAATGAATAAATCCGAGCGGGTGGGTTATGCTGAGGTTAGTGAGCTGTTCCTTTGGGACAAAATAGAAAGGAGCACCAAAACTTATAGAAATGAGTGTAATATTTTGATAAAATACGGTAAAACACAAACCAAATGAGTGTAAACACACACTGGATGAAGTGTCAGCCTATGTTTAGAAAAAGGCACCATGAGTGACACGCTGCTCATTTCCCTTCTCTAGGTTCAGAAGTGGAGGCCGGACAGTCAGGAGAGGGACCCTGGCGGGGGACAGTCGTCAGCTGAGGATGAGCAGAGTGGGCCAGGTGCAGCCTCAAAACCACCTGCCAGCCTCACCATTCTTTTCCTGGAAGTCAGCGTGTTCAAAGTTTATGCTTTTAATCAATGGCGGGGCAGATGCCTGATTTTCAGACACCAGCCAGTTTTGCTTTACTTTTCATTTTCTTAATAAAAGAAATGAAAGCCAAGAAAAAAATCGCAGGCTGACTAGGGGTGACTGACGCAGTCCATGGCGTGGGCAGTAGATAATGGTACACACCTGCCCACTGGGTAGACTCTGGGTAGATCCATGCAGTGGACAGGGGATAGATAGAACACCCTTGGTTTGCAGTGGTGTTTAATTAAGTGCTGAGTAAATCCTTTTACCTGCGTAAGAGCTATGACAGAGCAACTGTCCCAAATGGCACTGGGTAGGAATCCTGTGGAACCCATGAGAGGGAGTGTTTCACTGTACACACGCGATAACTACACAAGGCAGGTGGCCTCTGTCAGAGCACTGGATCTACTATCCTATGTCACCCTGAAATCCAGAGAAATGAGTAACTTTCCACACACTGTGTAACTGTTTCTCCAAATATCTCAGTGTTGGAAAAAATTAACACATCATTCGGATGCCCCATAGACTCAGTGCACAGCGCATAAGTGCAACGTTCACTTCCATCATCACCCCCTACCCAGGCCACTCCAGACATGCAACGTTGACAAGAAACCCCTGGACTCTCTGCTCACACCCCAGTGACAACATGTCTCTCTTGGCAACCTACTAGTTTTGGGAATAATGTCCAAATACGGCCCAGTAGATTACTTGCTGTGAGTGTACCACAGGGGCTGTCACCAGTCTCCTGACACCTGCTTTGGGCACCCATCCAATTCTTAACATGGAATGAATTTTAAATCTTGACTCAAAGCGAAAATGAGTGCAGGTGGCTAGCAACTGAAAGAGGCCTCCTAGAAGTCCTTCCCTAACAATGACCTAGGTATCAAATGTCTAAGCCAGCTAAAATGTGCGCAGGTCACCTTATTAAACTGAAAGTCCCTATTATATTTATGTAGTTTATCCTATGGTTTTCAGGTTAGAGCCTTGGGAACAGTATCTAACTTACAGCAAAAAAAAATACTCGTAGTAATCTACCATAGTTTTTAATTGAAGTGTTTTTAATATGTCTCCATCTATTCACAGCTATCCCAGTCAGCTTTTAACTGGCAACTCAAACACCCTAGAGTCACCTGAGAACAGTTTCAAGTGAGGACCTGTCTGGTTCAGATTTACCTATAGGCAAGTCTGGGATGGGATTGTCCTGACTGTTTCTGTGCTGGCAACAGAATCTCACTATGCAGCCTGGCTGGCCTCAAGCTCACTGAGGTCTGCTTGACTTTGCCTCCAAAAGGTGTGGGCAAGCGCAATAGTGGTCTTGACTGTTAATTAATGCAGGAGGGCCCAGCCCACCGTGGGTGGTACCATTCCCTGGAAAGACGGTCTTAAACTGTGTAAGAAAGTTAGATGAGCATGAGCCTATGAGCCAGCCAGCACACAGTGCTTTCCACTTCTGCGTCATACTTCTGCTTGAGTTCCTGCCCTGACTTCCCCCCATGACGAACTGCGACCTGAAGTAAGTAAGCCTTTCCCTCCCCCACGTTGCTTTGGCTATGGTACTTGTCTCAGCGTGAACAGAATCAGGACAACACACACACCTGTTCATGTCTTTGCAGAATCAGACACACAAACGTTGCACCTGGTCACTGGCTCCCGTAGCCCAACATCAAGGACACCAGCTTTTAAAGTCTTGAGGACTGAAACAAAGCTCACCAGTGAGGACAATGGACTAGCTTGATGTTCCTTTGTGAGAGAGCAAGCTTGCTGCAACAAAGAGGCTTTCCCTCATTCCAATCTCCACAGGTCTAAACACACACAGGTACCACCCTCAGCCGATGCTTGCATGCATGGCTCAGTTGAGGCTCCCAGTGGCTTTGATGCTCCTGGCAGTCCTAGGTCTGTGACAGAAATGACTCACTAACTAGGCTGGCCAGCACACTTCTCTCTGTAGGAATATTAGTCCAGTCCACTGTTGCATGGCAGGTCTGAATCCCCTAATACTTGAGCTCTGAGTTTGGAGCACCACACTTTCACTGTACCTGGCACAACTTGGATACTGGTATCCTCTGGGAACTGTTGCAGAATTCCCTGTACTCCATCTTGGTAAAACTGTTCATGAAGTTTTCATCTCTGCCGATTAGGTCAACACATTTATGCCCGTTGTAAATGAAATGACAAAAACAACAAGAATATCCAAACAGCAACCATGAAAACAAAACCCACAACCCACACAGCTTGCCCTGGAGGAGAAGAGCATCCAGGAAGTCTCCATCCCAGGGCGTTTCCAATCCTTGCCCTGCTCCTCACTTTCAGGTGGTTGAGGCCGTGGTGTGGTGGGTGGCAGAGGTCGGTGTTGCCCAAACTGTTCTGCGGCCGCTGGAGGCAGACAGGGCTGCCACTCAGGACTGGCTCTGTGGACTTGGCCCATGAGCACCCAAAAGGTGGAGGCAGATGTGGAGAAGCCCCTTGAAAATGGAACCAGCTTGTCCTCTGACAACTAAGGACTACATCGCAAATGCTGCTGAGGGTGCCTCTGAACGCCATGTAAAGACAGGTAAGGCGACATCCTTCTCTGCAGGGACCTCAGCTGCTGACAGACTGCTTGCTTCTGGGGATGTTGTGTGTTGCCTTTCATGCCGGCACAGAGTTGAGAGAGGGCCAGCGCTCTCCATCCTAGAAAATCTGGTTGCCAAATTCACTCACTTTAAAGTCCTCTTGGGGGCACTCATGGGAGGCCCTGCACATGAGAGCCCTGCCTCTGTCACAGCTACCAGACTGGGCACTTCTTACACACCACAGCAGAATCTCTATAGCTGCATGCCCAGCAGTTAGCTGGGAGAGACAGGGATCTGCTGTCAGGAACACCCCTGGGAAAAGAGCTCCCCAAAAGGAAGGCCAACGGCTCTCTTCTGATGCTCTGAGTTTTCAGTACATCACAGGGGAGGAACATGGCAGAGAGGAGACATTAAAGCTATGGCAGCCAGGAAGCTCTCTCTCTCTCTCTCTCTCTCTCTCTCTCTCTCTCTCTCTCTCTCTCTCTCTCTCTCTCTGTGTGTGTGTGTGTGTGTGTGTGTGTTTTCCTTGCCAGGAAAGTCAGGCTATCCAGGTTTAGCTTGCAGTACTCCGCCCTGGCAGAGACATCACAGGTGGAATAACCATAAAGAAGCCTCAGATATTAAGTTGCTTTGGGTATTTCTGCCCAGTGTGATGCCTCTTTCTGCTTTGGCACAGTCAGGAGGGAACTACCTGGGGCTGGAGAGGACAGACTTAAACTATGTCCTTCTGGGCTTCCTATTCTGAGCTCCCCTCTTGTGTTTGGCAGGGGCTGGGAATTTAGGAAGGGGCTATAGTCCAGTTCTGGCTCCTAAGTGCTCAGGTGGGGGAGAGTTCTCAGTATGGAGGCCCAAGTGAGGTGGTCAGTGCTTGCCCCAAATCAGCTTGGGTCCTCTGTAGACTTAAGACTTAAAGAGGCCTTCAGGGCTCAGAGCTTTCCAGCCTGGTGAGGATTTCTGTCACCAGGGAGCTCAGAAGCTTCATTTACTGTCCCAGGAAAAGCCTACCCCCATTGGCTACCAAGAGACTCACCCTGGTGAGGAGCTGGGTTGTGGTTAAAACCTGTACAGTTTCCAGGCCTACGTCCTTTCTAATGTAGGTCTGCAGTAAGACTGACTTCCATCCCAGATGGAGGCGCAGACAATGCCCCAGGTTTTCTGAGGGGCACTGAGGGTTAAGGACTGGACACCCTGGTCTGTCAGGCTCTCCCACATCTTTGTCTTCCTGGCCAATTGCTCTACACCTGGATCCCTCACTGACACCTGGGCTGAGGTTTCAAGGTGCACCTCAGGTGAGGCTGTTCCCAGGAAGAAAGAGAAAAGCCTTGAAGACATCTGACCCCTTTCCAATTCTAGCCCATGTCTTCCTCCTTCTTTTCCAGGGCCTCCCCAGACTGCCAGAACCTTTGTTCTGGGCTCTTTCAACAATGAAGCAAGTCACATATGTGCTAACCCACCTGACCCTCTGTCCACTTTCCGCAGGCGAAACAGTAGAGAAATGCCGTATCCTCTGGATTTACCTCCTGTCTCCACCACCCAGCAAGCCATCAGAGTCTTGGAATCTTTGTTCCTTTATGCTTCCAGTAGTCACCCTAACCCCTGGCAGCTCAGCTGAGTTCCTGACAACTGG